TGGACTTAACACCAAACTGATTCCAATCTTCATTCTCTACAGTGACAGGGACAATTTAGTGTTAAACCCAGCTGTCAGCCTATGATAAACTGCTACTGTAAACACTCTAAAACAGGAATTATAAACTATATTATAACAGTGTGGTTTCACAGTTATGTGGTTATGTAGTTGTGCAGTTTGGAATAGAATTTTCAGTAAACCTTTGTGTTTTGGGAATTGTATTATATTCTTACAATGACAAAAATTCACAATAGTGAAGCATTTTGAAGTCTGTGGATGAAAGGAAGTGGCAAGTAGTATTATAGTGAAACAGGATAGGAAAGAGTGCAATTTATATACAACTGGAATCAGCAGGGAAACATGCTAGTTTTAAGATATAGAATGCACATATTTCTTTTTATGCACTGTCAATGTCATCTTTTTGTTATGAGAAGATGAAAAAGATGCTGTGTACTTTTACATATTGTTTGCTAGATTTGAATATCATTTTTGTATGTTCATAAAATAATAAAATCACTTTCTAAAATCTATGGATGGAAATGCTTTGTGAAACAGGATCCCTAGGGTGGGGCAGCAAGCATCAGCAAGGCAAACTACCAAGGCCACAAACCATAGCCTGCTTTACAGACCTGGCATGGACCAGAGGAAGGAAATTCTCCCTGATCTGCTTTACCAACCTATTGTAGTTGTAATAATTTAGAGCCATTTCCTTACAATAAACATCGGGATGGGAGTTTAGAGGACACCTGGAGAATGAAGGCATTCTGTCAATTTCCCTCAGCTTGACTATATTATTCACTACTTGTATTACTAACTGCTGGGATACTTTATAGCTTACTCTGCTGCCTATACACACATACATACACTTTAAATAAAAAGCACAAAATTACAAGTGCACAGAGTAAGATAAGACACAAAAAAGAAGGAAGTGAAAAGCCTTCAAACATTTGAAGACAGATATCATGTCCTCTTAATCTTCTCTTCTCCAGATTATATATACCTACCTCCTTCAAACTTTCACCATATAACTTGGTCTTCAAACAATCAAACATAAGAAGACAACAACAAAGTCACAGTTAAGTCCTTGGAACATTTCCTGGATTGCTACCAAGTGTAGTGACAAGAGGTTATTCCCACAAGACTGTCCCTTATCAGTCTCCTAATTTCCTGGGGTTTCCCTGATGCCTTTTACGGTAAATGTGACATAGCTTCTAAGTGTGAGGGTGTTAAAATAAGCTGAGACCACACTGGTTATGAAACAAATAAAGTGTTTAGAAAGACGGAAAAAAATATGGAGTTTTAAAAGAAAGATATGTAATGCAAAAGTTACAGAAAACCATTACACCACCACCCCTGGAACAAAATAGCAAAATAAAGCCAATTAAAGCACCATCCACTTTCCTGGGACTAAGCAGTCCTTCAACTTACCAGACTCTCAGGAGAATCTTACTCCTAAGTAGCAGCCCTCTGTTTGCCTATGTCCCAGGCTTACAAAGATTTTCCTTTATTATGTTGGGTTCCACACTGAACTGAAGAACCTCCACAATGTAGACTCCCCTTGTCAACCACAGGTTAAGAGATGTGCCAATTCTTACATAAACAATGAAGTATTCACTACCTTAACATTTAAGCTTTAGGATATGTGCTGGGTTTCCAAGTTAATTCCATAATCCCCTCCAATAAAGAGACAGGTAAAAATATACATTCCAATACAAATAAAATTTGCAGCAGTCCGTATAAGTAAGGATCATGCAATCAGTCTAGGAAACCAAAGTCTATTTCATTATCTGATTTGACGTGAATTTTTTGATTAAAGCAATTTTCCAGACACACCTATGAGTTTAGGAACCATTTGTGTTCTGCTTCCAAGTATGTAGCCACTAGTATTAGATCTTTAAACTACACATCTTGATTAGGACTATCAGAAAAGTTTAACACAGCTAAAACTGGTGCTATCTTCAAAGGTTAACCTGTGCTAAGCATAATCTCTGAAAAAGCTCTTGATGAAAAGATTTGTTCCACTGGACACTGCCATCACATATGAAGGTAAGTCCCAAGTTCACCACATAATCTCCTTCAATTTGAGCTTGCTGTATTAGTGATTCTGAAAAGTTTCATGGGAGCAAGACACCATTTAGGTATCAGTTTTAAAGAAGCAAGGAGCAAAAAACAATTTTCACCCACAATTTCATCTTCTGTGGCTACAATGTCTAGTTCACATAGCCTTCGTTCTCAACAAAAACGTATTTCCCACAAAACCGCAGGTTGCCTGGGCAGCTATCACCAGATCTAACAGGAAGTGCATTAATTGATTATCCCGACACAAGGTTTGCCATCTTCATTATTGATTAAGGAACATAAATGTCTAATCGGAACTGCATCAAAGTAAGGGCTGTAATCTACAGAATCTGATTGCTGACTCTGGGTTTTTTACCCCCATGTACGGTATATATTTACTGAGCAAAGTTGGCCAGATCTTAAATTGTTTGGGAAAGATTGAGGTTGGCAAGTTCTGGAACAGGAACAGGAATTTTGACAATAACATTATTGTAACAATTGCTAGGTGTCCAAGTCGATATAAATTCTATTTTGTCCAATTCCTGAGCTCCTATTGCATTTGATTCAACAAGGGGCTTAACTAGTCTTCTTTAAATATGATTTCACCTTTTTCGGGCGCTACACAAATCCTGATATGCCAGATATGCCAACAAATGTTTGGGTATTTCCGACTTTTATCAGGATTTGAATTGTGCCCCAAAAAGGTTAAATATCAACCCTGTATTCTTCCCTTTTTTGGGGGGGAAACTAAGATTCATTTTCTTTCTTTTATTTGAATGTATTATTCATTTATTTCATTTGTATCCCACTTTCCTCCAAGGAGCTCAAGGAGGTCATACATAGTTCTCTTCCTTCCTATCTTGCCTTCACAACAACCCTGTGAGGTAGGTTAGGCTGACAGACTGTGAATGGCCAAGATCACATAGTGAGCTTCAAGGCCAAGTCCGGATTTGAACCTGCGTCTCCCAGGTCCTAGTCTGACACTCTAACCACTGCACCACACTGGCTCTCAGAGAACAAATAGTAATACATAGGCAGGGTTAGGGTTAGGGCAATCCTATACATAAAAACCTGGTGTGAAGTTAAGCTGGGGTAAAGTATGCCAGAGCCAAACTCCATTCTGAAGCATGTCTAAGCCTGGCGGAGGGAAAAACAAGCCTTGAAAACAGGTGTTTGGGTTACATCACCCTCCTTGCCAACCTACTTTGCTAACCTGGGTTATATGACCATTCTCAATGAGCTTAGGATCCAGCCTAAGTCCTCCCCCGGATCCTCCCCAACCATACCCACTTTCCATGACTTAAACCAACTTAAGATCTGTCTGGCTTGGCTCAGCTGCCTGGGTCCCAGCTGGTATCCAAACAATCCCCTGTGTTGCAAAGAGAACGCCAACAATGTCTAGGCAACACAATGACCATATACATACGTAATAGACAATCTTTATAGAATTCCTTCAAATCATAAAAAGTTCAAAATGAAATCTTTAGTCTCAAAGTCTCTGAAAATCTTTAAATAAAGCGAGGTACCAAACTTTGTATGGTGGAAGACAAGCTGTGAAGCTTTGTGTATTCAGCAATGATGTCCAATAAAAAGGTAAAGTGACCCCTGACCATTAGGTCCAGTCGTGGCCGACTCTGGGGTTGCGGCGCTCATCTCGCTTTATTGGCCGAGGGAGCCGGCGTACAACTTCCAGGTCATGTGACCAGCATGACTAAGCCGCTTTTGGTGAACCGGAGCAGCGCACGGAAACGCTGTTTACCTTCCCGCAGGAGCGGTACCTATTTATCTACTTGCACTTGGACGTGCTTTCGAACTGCTAGGTTGGTAGGAGCAGGGACTGAGCAATGGGAGCTCACCCCGACGTGGGGATTCGAACCGCCGACCTTCTGATCGGCAAGTCCTAGGCTCTGTGGTTTAACTCAGAGCGCCACCCACGTCCCTATGATGTCCAATACTGAACAGTAATTCCAGATATTGGCTACTGTTTCATAGAATTCTTCATCAGCATGGTGGGTGGATATAGAATGCTTCATAAACCCATCTTATTTCGAATGAATGTATATAAATAATGCAGTGCTCATGTAATAATGTAGTCACTGCAGTCATGCATTGTACAACACTTAAAAATTCACTGTTTTACTAAGCATACTCCCCTTCTACAACTGATAATGAAAATAGAAAATTAAAAACGATTGTTTACATAGTTCAAAATCTGTCCCCTCTCACTTGCTTTCTCCCAGTATTATATATGTATTTATTGCATGCTCAGTGTTTATTTTCAACACTCTGGGGCAAGCTATCTAGATCAGTGGGGTATAAATAATAAAATTATTATTATTATTACTGATGAAAAATAGGAACAATAGGGAAGCATATTCAGAGGGCTAGTCATCTTAGCCTGTTGCAGAAAGAAACAACAGTTTTGTGGCCCAGTTCACCAGATGTAAGAAAACCTTGGGCGTCATAGGCATGAAATTGGGAGATAGATCAGAACAATTAACATAACAGCATCTTTCCATAGGTTGACTTAAAAATTGTAAAGCAAATTGGTACACATGACTAGTTGCTATTTGGTGTTCCTTAGGAATAATAGACTATTATCTAAAATTAATTGGGTTTTGCTTGAAGTCTTCCCCCTGCCCAGAAAAGCACTGAGGAAGGACTAAAACTGGTGTAATTATTCATTGAACCTCTAAGTGTCGCTGTTTGCTCATAAGCCAAGAACTACAAATCCCTGTTCTGCTCTCATTCTGCAAATACACAAAGCTCACATCCGCGTTCAGCAAGTCTGAATTTGCAGGAGGAAATATCTAGGGAGCCTTTGGAACCTTTGTAAGGTCCAAACTGGACAATAAGGGCACAACAATCTGACAGTCTACCTGGAAATGGCTGGAAGGATTCTGTGCTATCAAAAGAATAGTGTGCTTTGCTTTGTGCTGGCGATGGTCTGGGAGGTAGCTTCTGGGCAAATACATTATTTGATTCCTGAGGAAATGGAGAAAGGTTCTTTTGTAGGAGATATTGCAAAGGATCTTGGACTGAGCGTGAAGGAGTTATCAAGTGGAGACACCAGGATAATTTCCAGAGGTATGAAGCAATATTTTTCACTTGATTTGAGAAATGGACATTTGTTTATCAAGGAAGTAATTGACAGGGAGCAGATTTGCCACCAGGTAGAAAAATGTCTGTTAAATTTTGAGATTCTTGTGAAGGATAAAGTGAAGTTTTTTATGGCTAAAGTTGAAATAACTGATATTAATGACAACTCACCCAGCTTCCCTGTAGAAGAGTTTGAATTAACAATTGCTGAAAACTCAGGTCTTGGGGCAAGGTTTCTTTTACCAGGGGCTCAGGATCCAGATCTAGGGACGAATTCTCTCCAGAGCTACCATCTCAGTAGCAACAGACACTTTTCCTTGGATGTACAAACTGGAGTTGATGGGATCAAATACGCAGAACTAGTCCTTGAAAAGCTGTTAGATCGAGAAGAACAAAAAGTGCACCAACTAATTCTCACTGCTGCTGACAAAGGAGAACCTGGCAGGTCTGGTACAGTGCAAATCCGTGTTGCTGTTGCAGATGTAAATGACAATGCTCCTATTTTCAGTAAGTCTCTATATGAAGCGGACGTTATGGAAAACATGCTTAAAGGGTCGCACGTGTTAATTCTGAATGCAACTGACCTTGATGAGGGAATAAACTCAAAGGTAATGTATTCATTCAGAAAAATTTCAGACAAAGCTTCCAAAATATTCCACTTGGATTCCGCAACAGGGCAGATATCAGTCATTGGGAATATTGACTTTGAAGAATCTATAGCACATGAAATGGAAGTCCAAGCACAAGATGGGGCTGGCTTGTCTACTCGCGCTAGAGTAGTCATAAGAGTCATGGATGCGAATGACAATCCACCAGAGATTGCAATTACACCACTTTTCAGCAAGGTTGAAGAAAGTTCTCCTCCAGGAACTGTAATAGGTCTTATAAATATAAATGACAGAGATGATGGGGAAAATGGAGAGGTCTCATGTTCTATACCAGCAGGACTTCCGTTTCTGTTGAAGAAAGCATTTGACAACTATTACAACTTGGAGATTGCAAGTGTCCTTGACAGGGAGAGGGTCTCAGAATATAACATCACAATAATAGCAAGTGACCACGGGATACCTTCTCTCTCAACAACTGCTTACTTCCCACTAGAAATATTAGATGAAAATGACAACCCACCCACCTTTAAAAATACAGCGTTCACTTTTTATCTTGAGGAAAATAACCACAGAAGTGAATTCATTACTATTTTGAAGGCACATGACTCTGATTGTGAGGAAAATGGCAGAATAATTTACTCTATCATCGAAAGAGATATTGTGCAGCCCAGTGCTAAGAAAGTCTACTCAGAAGTAAATTCCAATGAGCTCAATGTGACTTACTCTCAGATAAGTGAGCATGAGACTAAAGTCAAAAATACCTTCCTTCCTACCTACCTCTCAATTAACTCTGAAACTGGAGCAATCTATGCCCTACACTCCTTTGATTATGAAGAGATCAGGGAGATTAATTTCCTTGTCAAGGCCCAGGATGGAGGTTCCCCACCACTCAGCTCCAACGTCTCAGTGACTCTCTTCATCCTGGACCAGAATGACAATGCTCCCCAAATCCTGTACCCCTCCCCTCCCACTGACGGCTCCACAGGGATAGAGCTGGCCCCTCGCTCCTCTGAGCCAGGCTACCTGGTCACTAAGGTGGTGGCCGTGGATGCGGACTCTGGCCAGAATGCCTGGCTCTCCTACCAGCTGATCAAGGCCACCGAGCCAGGGCTCTTCACTCTGGGGCTCCACACGGGAGAGATCAGGACGGCCCGCTTCTTTCTGGAGAAGGATGCCCTCAAGCAAAGCCTGGTGGTTTTAGTCAAGGACAATGGGCAGCCACCTCTCTCTGCTTCAGCCACTCTGACTGTGGTGCTGGCTGACACCATCCCTGCAATCCTCTCAGACCTTAGCAGCATCTCAGCATCTGAAGACCCACAATCTGATGGTGAGCTCACTTCGTACCTGGTGACTGCAGTAGCTGCTGTCTCCTGCTTGTTCTTCACCTTTCTGCTTTTGTTACTAGCTTTTAGACTTTATAGGTGGAGAAACTCACAATTGTGTGACTCAGGATTTGGAAATTTCAATGAAGTACCTGTTTCACAGTTTGTGGGCATTGATGGTGTCCGGGCTTTTCTTCAGTCTTACTGTCCTGATGGCTCACTAACTACCTGCTCCCAAAACAATAAAATTGTTTTTCCAATTGGAAGTTGTACAGATATTCTCTCATCTCATCCAGCTGCCGATAATTTAGGTCCTTTATTAACTATGGGAGATCCAAGCACTGATACAGTACGACAAAACTCTGAGCAGGTGAGTTGCATTTTCTAAAATTAAGATTGCTCACATTTTACAATGTACAAAGCAGAAACAAGCTGAATGTGATACAGTCTGCAGAGCTCATTGGGCACTGAGCTAAGAATTGTGCAAAGTGGATTTGTATTTAAATTAGCCATGTATTTTCAGTAACACGCCACCAAACATTAGTTGATTTGCACTCCATAAATTCAGAAAGTGAGTGGCATTTCACCCCCCCCCTTCTTTGCACTTTCTTTGCTGTCTAGGGACCATGGCTGAATTTTTTAGTGGCAAGTAATGGGAAAGAAATGGGCATAAAGGAACAAACACTTGCAGACAAGAGGTCCAATTAAAGTGTTTCCTTAATAGGTGTCGTTTGGGTTCGTTACTGGGTTGGATTTATCTATATCACCAGGGAGAGGTTCATTGCTCTTGGCAAGTAGCTGCTTAAACTATCCGAAGTCAAGCTGGCATTGGGAACTGGCATTATTGGGCCACAGCAAGGGGCCTACGAGCAATCCCTGAGGTCTCCGATTCCAGGTGCTTCTCCTTGCTTGTTCGGATGCTGTCTCTGAGTCAATGAGCAGAGATAGGAGGGAGGAAAATGTGCAGCTACCACTGCTCACCTCTCCCTCTGATCATTGAACACGGCTGGAGGAGGCAAGAGCTGAGTGTATTTATTATTGTTCTACTTGTTCTAATTTTTCTAAATTGTCTTGAAATCTCTGGTGAAAGATGGTTTTAGATATATGGAGCAGACAACTGAAATATTTGCTGCTGCAAACAAAGTAACTTTCTTTAACATTCAACAACTCTGGCTACAACTGATCAATCCTTGGTTTCAGTTCTCTGCTGGCATTTCCTTAACTTCTTGCCTTCCCCACTTTTGGAACACTTCTTTTCTACTGTCATTGCAAAAACTCTGCTGGACCACAATTGAGGCACCAGAATTGAAAAGAAAAGTTTCCATATATTAGTGAACTGCGTTTAGTTAGTAGGTGGTTGTACCTTAGGTCAGGTCAGACCAGGCAATGACCAGAAGGCTATCCTGTCCTTTCCAGCTTGGGGGAAAGCAGTAGTACCTGGTGATTATGGGAGTGGGGAGCAGGTGGGCTTACTGAGCAAGGTCCTGCCCAAGGGCCCTCCAAAACCTGAATCTGAGTCTGACCACCAAACCTGAATCTACTTGCACTCCACTAGCCATTTGACAGCAATGCAACACAATATAAAAATGGATTCTTTCCCACTATGAAGAAGAGTTTGGACTTGATATCCTGCTTTATCACTACCCTAAGGAGTCTCAAAGCAGCTAACAATCTCCTTCCCCTTCCTTCCCCACAACAAACACTCTGTGAGGTGAGTGAGGCTGAGAGACTTCAGAGAAGTGTGACTAGCCCAAGGTCACCCAGCAGCTGCATGTGGAGGAGTGGAGACGCGAACCTGGTTCACCAGATTACGAGTCCAGCGCTCTTAACCACTACACCACACTGGCTATGATTCTTAAGATGAGATGCCTGTGCTTGGGTAGAAAGGACACTGAGGGAGGGAAGGGCAGATTTCTAATCCCCTGGGAGCTAGTGAATTTTATACCATCCTTGTCTGCTATGCCTTTCTGTTGGTGTACACTAAGGCTATGTAAGCACTAGCAGCTTAAAACACAGCGAGATAGATTTTCCTAGCTACATTTCAAGTCACATTTGCACATTGCTGCACACACCAGAGAGGGGGCAGGGTTCAAGATGTTTTCACTGGTGCACTTTATCAATGGTACTGAAAGCTGCTGAGATAGCAAGCAAAAGAATCAAGGATTGTCATCCATCAGAGAGACCAAGGCTTATTCAGTCCTGAACCCAGGCATCAACCAGACTGGAATGGATCCAGAAAATCATTCTCATCCAGGAATGTTGCAGTTGTTCCACTACAACTCTTTCAATCACCTTCCCCCAAATGTAAGCCAATTTGTCCAGGGCTGGCTTTTTCAGTAGTGCCCACACCAACTTCTTTAAGTCAGCAAGTGCCACTCCTTCATGCAAAAATAAAAATAAAGACCTTTGCCACTTGGATCCATCCAGTTAAGCCCCAGGCTCAATTTCAACAGCCAAGATGGGCAGCGATTGAGAGGGTATCCCTGCATGCACCCTGTCCATGTCTTCAGGCTGCAGAAGCTGAAACTGACCCCACAAAGTTGTGGACAATATAGCATTCAATGCATTGTTGTGCATGAGTGGATGGGGCTAGTCAAGCACAATGACCCAGAGGGCAAAGGTGGCCCAACAAAATTCAGATTCAAAGGTGTTACAAAACAAAAGAAAAAACTAAAAGTGTGTGCAAGCAAGTGGTTCCAAATAAGATAACTGATGACCGTCAAATACAATAGCACACCTACAGTACATGCAGCATGTTTAATTGATTGTCAATTTTATAAGCCCTCCTTCAGTAACAGGACTGTCAAAGAGGCTAGAGGCCCCATTTTACAAAGAAGGAGAAGCAAAGCATAATAATAAAGGACTAGTCCAATATCAGCACAACTCACTAGCCACTCTTCATTTTCCCTCCTCCAGTAACTCCCTCTCTTTCTTTCTAAGGCAAACTATTCTTGCCTCTGTCTTCCCTGACTTAATTTGTGTAAGGACTCTCCAGAATTTAGTCTAAGAATCTGTCTTCAATAGCAGACCTGAACCTGTAATATGGGAAGAAAAGCATGTCTGAGCAGGTGCAGAGTGCTTTTCCCTCACTACTAAATGTCTTCTACCACTGTTGTGGTTGTTGTTGTTTAGTTGTTTAGTCGTGTCCAACTCTTCGTGACCCCATGGACCAGAGCACGCCAGGCACTCCTGTCTTCCACTGCCTCCTGCAGCTTGGTCAAACTCATGCTGGTAGCTTCGAGAACACTGTCCAACCATCTCGCCCTCTGTCGTCCCCTTCTCCCTGCGCCCTCCATCTTTCCCAACATCAGGGTCTTTTCCAGGGAGTCTTCTCTTCTCATGAGGTGACCAAAGTATTGGAGCCTCAGCTTCAGGATCTGTCCACTCTACAAACTAAATATTCACCAGCAGGTTACCTCTGAGTGAAGGGGTAGGCAAGGCTATGTAGCGTAAAATCTGAGCCCACATCTCCAAACACACACACGGCTCCCCCTCCCCCTCATTCCAGCAACCCTACTACCACATTCGGAGAAGACACTTAAAAAAACACCATGTGATTGTACTCTGAATTAGGTTGATTAAAAAATATATAAGGTGGAAATTGTCATTAGATCAATAGTCACTGATTACTTTTGACACAATCCTGTTAATGAGGAGGTACACTGCGTTACTCATCCATTGTGGTGCTTATCCAATCTCCATTGAGCTTTCTAGATGGGATGTAGTATGTTAATGGAAGTTTGTTTTTATACCTATTATTAAATAAAAAGGAATGAAATGTTATTTTGCAAAGCTTTTTAAAACACTGCATTTACCAACTGATCCATTGGGTGTCACTGTTCACCAATAAGGAGAGAAACTGGATTGAACCAGCTAGACCACCGAGATGAAAAACACAAAAGGTTTATTATAGTCTCTGACCTAAAAGAAAAAGGAGGATCTTGTTTGATGGAAAATAAAAGGAAGTCTTAAATAGGCACATTAGTCTATTAAGAGAGCCTAGTTTAAACACTGGTGCCTGTTATCTATGGACTGATAGGACCTGGCAGAGGCTGAAATGGCTTGTATACAAATACTCTTGGATAGAAGGAGACAGGCATCCTGCCTTGTGCTGCTAGCTGTTTTTCAGGCAGTTACTGGACAGATCCATTATTCAGTTCCTGAGGAACTGCAGGAAGGTTCTTTTGTTGGGGATATCTCACAGGATCTGGGATTGGATATGAAGCAACTCTTGCCTGGTGGTGTTCGGATTATTACAGAAGGTAGGACACAATACTTTGCCCTCAATTTCCAAAATGGTCATTTATATATTAATGAAAGACTAGATAGAGAAGAAATATGTGGACGTCTGTTAACTTGTATTTTGAAGTTGGAGATTCTTATTCAGGAGCAGCTAAAAGTCTATACAGTAGAAATTGAAATCGAAGATATCAATGACAATGCACCAGCATTCCAAGTGGAGACATTGCAGCTAAATATCCCAGAAAGTACAGCTGTGGGATCTCGATTTCTTCTTCCAGATGCACAGGACCCAGACTTAGGAGTGAACTCTTTACAGAGCTATCAAATCAGCCCTAACAGACACTTCTTTCTTGATGTGCAAATGACAGCAAGTGGAGCCAAATATGCTGAGTTAGTACTGGAAAGGTCTATGGATCGAGAAGTAGAAGCTTTCCATGACTTAATCCTTACAGCCAGTGATGGGGGGAATCCTGTCAAATCCGGAACTGCACACATCAAAGTTTCCGTTGAAGATGCAAATGACAATGCACCAGTTTTTTCAGAATCTGTTTATAAAGTGACCACTGCAGAAAACATTCCTGTTAATTCCCTGCTTGTAACAGTCAATGCTACTGATCTGGATGAAGGCATTAATTCAGAGATAACATATGCATTCAGGCAGGTATCAGAAAAGGCTTCAAACACTTTCCATTTGGATCCGAGAACTGGAGAAGTAAGGGTGAGGCAGGAGATAGATTTTGAAGAATGTGCTTTGTATGAAATGGAGGTTCAAGCTCGCGATGGAAGAGGGTTATCAGGTCGAGCAAATATTTTGTTGGCTATTACCGATGTAAATGATAATGCACCAGAAATTGCAGTCACATCTCTTACTAATGCTGTGAGTGAAGACTGCCCAGAAGGAACTGTAATTGCACTGTTAAAAGTAATAGACAGGGATTCAGAAGACAATGGGCTGGTTACATGCTCCATCTTTGGCAACCCGCCATTTCATTTAGAGAAAACGTTTGATAATTATTACAGTTTAGTGACTGGCAGAACCCTGGACCGAGAAGATGTATCTAATTACAATGTTACAGTTATTGCAACAGATAAAGGAAATCCTCCTCTCTCCACAACCACCGCTATTCAGTTGAAAATATTAGATAAAAATGATAATCCACCCACCTTTGAAAAGAGGTCCTATGTTACTTCAGTTACAGAAAATACTTCAGCTGGATCCTCTGTTTTAACACTAAAAGCAACTGATCCTGACTGGGAGATGAATGGCAAAATTACTTATTCAATCACTGAAGGTGAGATGAGTTACTCCTACTTCTCCACCTGCCTTTCTATAAACTCTGAGACTGGAGTAATCTATGCCCTACGGTCCTTTGATTATGAAGAGATCCAAGAGATTAAGTTCCTGGTCAAGGCCCAGGACGGAGGCTCTCCACCACTCAGCTCTAACGTCTCAGTGACTCTCTTCATCCTGGACCAGAATGACAACGCTCCCCAAATCCTGTACCCCTCCCCTCCCACTGACGGCTCCACGGGGATAGAGCTGGCCCCTCGCTCCTCTGAGCCAGGCTACCTGGTCACTAAGGTGGTGGCCGTGGATGCGGACTCTGGCCAGAATGCCTGGCTCTCCTACCAGCTGATCAAGGCCACCGAGCCAGGGCTCTTCACTCTGGGGCTCCACACGGGAGAGATCAGGACGGCCCGCTTCTTTCTGGAGAAAGATGCCCTCAAGCAAAGCCTGGTGGTTTTAGTGAAGGACAATGGGCAGCCTCCAATGTCGGCATCAGTCACTGTCACTGTGGTCTTGGCAGACAGCATCCCTGACATGCTGACTGATCTGGGCACCATCTCAGCTCCTATCAGTCTTGAGTCTGACCTCACTTTCTACCTGGTGACTGCAGTGGCTTTTGTCTCCTGCTTGTTCTTCACTTTCCTCCTTGTATTATTGGTACTAAGGCTTCGCAAGTGGAGACATTCTCAGTTGTGTGACACTGGAAGTGTAAATTTAAATGGGGTTCCTGTTTCACAGTTTGTGGGGATTGATGGAGTCAGGGCATTTCTTCAGACTTATTGTCATGAGTTTTCACTAACTTCGGGCTCTCGGAAAAGTCAGATTTTTTTCCCCATTGAAAGCTGTACAAACACACTGACAGGACATCAGGCTTCTCAAATCTCTGGACTTCAGTTTACTGCAAATGATTCAAATATCAATAAGGAAGGGCAGACCTGCGAACAGGTATGTTTTGCTTTCACTAAACTTTGAAAAGGTTTTATAAAACCTTATGTCAATATAATATTTATCTAGTTGAATTATTTTTACCTTTTATTTGATGTTCAAGAATAACTTCGCTGCAACTGAACAAGTGTTTCTGTAAGAATCACTGTAAGAATTGAAACATTTAAAAATCTTGATCATCTTGAAGATAATTTTGCCCTTTTTGACTTAATTCAGACTGTAATTTGCTGTTTCTCATTTAATCTAAGTTTAACTCCTTAAGAAACCTCTCCTTTGTTTAATGTTTGGGTTTAAATAAAAGTGGATTGTTGCCACCCCAATCTCCAAGCAATGTAAGATTCCATGGATTCCAGGTGCTTACCTTTTGGAATGAGGGACAGTGGAGACTGTGGTGTCTTTATGATATATTGTTTATTTACACATATATGCAACCTGAGCCTATGATGGAGGGGTTTTGCTTCCACCATAGCCAAACCTTGGATTCAACCAGAAATCAGGCGTAACTCTGTATCCCAGCTTCCCAGCCTGCAGACTCTCTTCTACCTTCCAGCTCACATAACTAAACTCTCCATTCTGGCCTTTATCTTTCTAACTACCGGTTTGTTGAGGGAGGAAAGCCCACCCTTTGTCATGCGACACAGAGACACTTTCTTTGTTACCTTAAAGGTCCATACTTAGAGGGCCATTATTTCATCAGGAAGTTAGCCTAACTATTCCAGGAATTGAATCCATGCTGGATCCATGAATTAGAAGGGGGGCATAACAGTATTTACATAATAAGAAGAAACAGGGAGGTCTTCATCTGCTTCAAAGTCCAAGCCAGAGAGTAAAACATAGCAGTAGTCAAGGTGGGAGATGCCTAGAGAATTTTAGGTAAGGGGATAGATAGCTGAATCCGTTGTAGGAGAAAGTGATGGACTGAATATGGGAAGCACAGGAGTAGGGGCTCAAGAATAAAGCAACAACTTCATATGTGGTCAGCAAGATGGTTGGTGAAATTCTCAATTTGGTATGCGCTTTGGCTATTAAAAAAAATCTCTGGACTCTCTAATAAGACCCTCTGAAAATGCAGCTGAGCTTTTGTGTATCTGCAACACTAAAGTTCATTTTTTCATGATTGTAGATGATAACTCACATTCTACTCTATCACATGCTTTTTTGGGAAAGTAAAAGAAGACTACTTCCACTGCCTGTATCTTAATCAAGAGTTTTAAAAGTGCCAAGCTTTAAAATCTTTAACTCCATGTTGGACTAAACTGACATGCCCAGGCACTTCATTGCCCTATTCTCCCTATCATAATTATCATCTGACAGATGAGCAGTCCAACCACAGGGAGCACCCCTAGTAGCAGGGCAGGAATAAATATTAAAATTACTTTTTTGTTGCAGTATGCTACAGATTGTAGATGGGTAGGCACTGGCAGTGGGTCAGCATTTGTGGGATGGCAATATAACCCTTGCTTTATAGCAAAAATTGCACCTCATCTACATTGCAGCTGCACATGGGGTTCCACTGGCAGACATCTTGTATCAATTTATTTAGTGAATTTTATTCTATTTTATCATTGTTAAGTTTTATTGGTATCAAGGTGTTATTTCCATGTTATGGAGCTCTATTACTATCATTTTGTAACAGCAAAATCAGTAGTGTTGTTCATAATGTCAGAGGCATGGAAGTTTTCCTTTATTTATATTCTATATTCTAGTTTTTTTCTACACATGAATGAAATGGTGACAGTATTCTCACTCTCACCCCACTCCCACCAGTTGTTTTCCCATCCTAATGCAGAGAGAATGAAAAGCTGACATTTTGGGGGGAAAGCAACTTTATACAAAACAGGATGAACACTGAATCACTAATCAACTTCATTGCCTTCCTACAGAACATCTATCTTGTCTGGACTGAGCTTTGGTTTATTAGCCCATATCCAACACATTACTATACCAAGCACCTTTTAAGAACATTCATTGTGTCATCTATACTAGACAAAGAGGAGAAATAGAGCTGGGTGTCGTTAGCATAGTGATGATGCCTCATTATCATCTCTAGATAATTTCCTCCTACAGCTGGGTACATGTTACTCAATAGGATAAATGTTGTGGAGTGAAACAGAAGTATTACAGTGTAACTGTTTGGGACTAACATGACAGACAAGAACAGAACCAAGGGGACACAATGCCTCCAAACCAGAAGATGATTCGGAAGTATATTATAATTGATACATCAAAACATCAAATTGATAGCCTTTGAGAGATCCAGAAGAATCAACAGGACTGCACTCCATGTGTTCCTCTCCTAGCACATGTTTTCTGTGGGGGTGACCAAAGTGCCCCCAAACCATGACAGAATTCAGACTGAAATAGATCCAAATAATCCATTTCATCCAGGCATGTCTAGGGTTGAGAAGCCACTGTCTAGTAAAGCCACTTGCCCAAGAAAGGGGGATTAGCAACTGGCCAATTGTGGGGTGGTGGTGGTGGGGAATCATCCATATATTTTTAAGGAGTAGTCTCAGAGGTGCCTCCTTCAAGGCTGCTGGGATATTCTCTTCTTTTAATGAAGTACTTATTGCCACCTGAACCCAATTTACTACCCCTTCTGGGTTGATGCTGTGGTGGGCAACAAGAGTTGAACATAGAGGGGAAACACCTCTCCGATAATATCAAGCTGCAAATAACATTAAGTTGCAATAGTGAAAATTCATCCCAGCAAAAGGGTCTGGATGGGGCCACAGGAACTTCCAGTCCTATAAGCAATCCCCAGTCCTATAAGCAATCCATCACTCAAGTCATTTTTCTATGAAATGTTTTGGGAATAAGTCACACTGGATCATTGAAGATTCTTGTAAATTGCAGATGAATAAGCTCCATTGCTACTTAGCAGATCCTCTGGATGGCATTTCTCTGATACAACTCTGGTGGATGTGAAGGAATCTCTGTTCACCACAATCATTACCATGACTGAACATGTAAAACAGGCTCTAGCCTGTGTGCAGTAACATCTGCTCCTACACCCTGTGTTCTAGACATTTCATTCATGACTCCTGTGATCTTTTAATTTGAAAAAATGATGGATGAATCAGCATTATCTAATAAATGTGGATGGAGGTACACCAGCATTTCTACTTCTTTGAATGTCAGAATGAGACGTAGAACTATATTTTAAAGGCAGTGCTTTAAACACTCACAACCATATGGTTAATAAAGGTAAAAATTATTTCTGTTACACAACAAAGCAATGTTTTAACTGTAAGGAGTTGAACTAAGAAGGTAAACATGAGTTTAACTATAAGCAGCTAGTAAGAAGGAAATGACATAATCAGATAATTGTTTCTGATGCATAACTTAATAAAACCAAGGTATTTGGATTCAAACTGAAATAAACTAAAAGACTGTAGCCCAGCATATGCTTTGTGTGAAAAAGATCTCAGGTACAATCCACATAATCTCCAGGAAAGCTTGGAAAGTCTCCTCTCTGAAGAAACCCTGGAGAAACCCACAGTATCTCAGGCAGTACAATGTTAGCTGTTTGCAGGTGAAGTGGGAATCTTTTGACTCTCGTTCCCTGATCTGCCTTAAAGGGAGTTATTTTTGTCAACTCTGCACTATTGAGTGTGTATTTGTTCCAAATTAAGCAAGTCATTTTCTTAAGCATCTAGACCAGGGATAGTCAACCTTTTTATACCTACCACCCACTAATGTATCTTTCTTGATGGTAAACTTTCCTTACCTCCCAACAGTGCTCAATAGAAGGATTCAGCTTGTGCCGTAGAACCCCCTACCACCCACCTAGAATCCTGAAACACCCAGTAGTGGGCGGTAGGGACCAGGTTGACAACCCCTGATCTAGATAATTAGTTATGACCAGCAGATTCAGTGAAGGTGGAAATCAAAAACACCCAAAGCATTAAGAATTGCTTATCTAACCCAGCCTTCCAGTGACTTGTGGGGACCTCAGATGAGTGGCACTCTTGGACAATGCTTGGGCTCATTCACACACACCCCCTCAAAAAAAAACCCCTTACAGGCAGATGGCCCTAGCGGAATCTTCCCAGCACACCTTGAATGTGCATAGGCAAGAAACAGCAAACTTCTTCAGTTGATCAGGTGTGCCAACTTGAATAAAATACTGTGAAGGTTCGTGTAGGCCCTGCCCCACATAATTGATCACATGATGCAGAACACCCATATTTGAATGGGAATGCCCATCAATTTTGTAGGGGTCCAGCCCCCTCCAGCATTTTCCCCAGAGTGGCTGGAGAAACCCAGCCAGATGGGCGGGGGTGGCATTTGCCCTCCTAGGTGTGTGACATCATACTGGGTTCATAAGGAAAGGGTTAACTAATTGTAAAATGACTAACCTATAGGAACCCAAGGGGAGGAGCTAGAGTTAGAGTTAGAGTTAGAGGTAGAGTTGGAGTTGTTAAGAAGTCAGTCTGGAGTCAGAGAAGAGGGAGGGAGGATAAGTCTGTGGGTTGGGCTACTCTGATGTGAGAGAGTGAGAGAAACTGTTAAGTTGAGATAATCAGTCAGAAGGTATTAGGAAGGTATAGGCCGGTAAAGAAACTAAGGATAAGAAACTGACAAGAAAATTAACTGAGAAACCATACTTACAAAATAAACTTTTTATTTGTTTTAATTTTAACAACTGTCTTGACTCAGTGTGTACCTGAGAGTAACGGGTTGGTGGCAGCGGGGAAGCGAGCACAGTGGTGGCACAGGGATCAATAGACCATCAAAAGTCCAGGGACCCTGTGTGATTGCCACAGCGGGGTATAAATATTATTATTATTATTATTATTATTATTATTTCTTGTTGGGGCCAAAGGCCTGTAGGAGTTGGTTCCTATGACCAGAGTCAAGGTAAGGTTGTCCAACCAAGGTAGGTAGCAGAAAATTCTTTTCCAGCTCCTACAGTTGCAGACCGTAAGGGAGGCTGTCAGTTAAGTAGTTAACCATGTTGCATATAAACTCTTTTACTTAGTGAAATTGTGGCCAAAATTGTGGCCCTAGTTCAATCTTCACTTTGTTGTCCTCCTGGTATGCTCATTCTAGATATGGAAGCAAAATGCTTATTATCTTTTAAATTCAAGTCCTTTAGTCAAACTGGGTAGAGGTTTTAAGGACAAGATGGCAATAAAATCAGATATATTTCTAATTTCTAGAAGTTATTTGTGGTAAGAAATGAAAAAATATATAAATATATTGGGCTTCTAAAATGTCTAAACTAAAGTAGTGAATAGGCCAGGAATGAAATGATCAAGAAGGGTGCCTGATTTTACTGAAATAATGTTATAAGTTACTGTCAGAGCTGGCTCCAGGTCCCAGCTCACAGAGGACCAACGCTAGCCGGCAGTAATGTACAAAAGTCTTTATTGAAGTACAGTTTCCATTTCAAGCCGCAGCGCCCCAGCTCTACGTCTAGGGGTTAGATCGGCGAAGCTCCATCTGAGTCTCCGCCCCCCTGTACACCAGTTTAAGATTCTAGCCTTACTCCACCTCTTACGTCTCTCCTTTCTCCTCTGGGTCCTGCTACCCCCCGGGGTCCCTTCCTTCCTGGATTCTTCTGACGCTGTGCCCCCTGACTCCTCCCCCTCTTTTCGGCGGGCTTTGGGACCTGGCTCCCTATCCGGGCTGCCAACTGCGCCGCCCTCCTGTACATTTGAATCTGGCGCGCGCGCCCAGCCTTCAACCTTCCTCTCGACCGTTTCCTCGCTCCCCGATGGAGGCGTGGCCAATCCTGACTCATGTCCTCCCACTGGCAGTGCGCCGCCTGATCCCGATGCCTGGGACCCTCCCCCCTACTGCACTCTGGTGTGGACGCTGTTACTGATTTCCAACTGCTGCTCTCTGAGTCCACTCTGGCCCCTTCTTCCTGGGGTGTCCCCCTCGGCGCCCCCGTTGCTCTGACCTAGGGAGCCCCTTTCTGTGAATCTTCCGATTGGCTGGAAAGACTCAGAGACCTCGGACCGCTGTCATCGCTAACATTTCCTTCGGACTCCTCCCCCTCGCTCTCTATTTCCTCCCTTTCCTGTGCCTCTGCTCCTGAACCCCTGACAGTTACACACAATGAAATGGTGATATTTGGAATGTTACTTTAATTTACAGTACAATCCTATATATGGTTACTCACAAGTAAATTTCCAATGTGATTTATTCCCAGGTAAGTTTGTGTAGGATTGCAGCCTTAATGTTCTGTTAGCTACAGTGGAGCAAAGCAAAGAAACAAAGCAAAGAAAATCTCATTAAATACAACATTAAATATGCATTGGTAATATTATTTCTCCAAATAAAGACAAAGGATACATTTACTTACTAATTTTGAAAACAAAGAATTCTGTGGAATAGGTATTTTGTAAAAATCAACTATTTCTCATAGAATAGAAATTACAGGTTTATTAAAGACTTTTCTGGTTTATACTTTATAATATGCTTTTAATATACTTGGTTTGTTTATGCTTTGTTTATAGATAGTTATCCACACATGAAGGAAGTAAACTGCGTAATCATGTCAACTAGGCTGTCTTTGCCTTTTGTATTACTTTAGCTATTGCAGTTTTTGGTTGAGACTCTGGGCGCCGCTGTTTACCAATGAGAAAGCAAACTGAAACGAAAGATGCAGGGTAAGTTCTTGCACATTGCTAGAAAGGCAGCTAAACTGGCACACGTCCTCTCTCTCAGTGAATCAGTATAGATTAACAAAAGGATTTTCTGGTTCTTTGCTACAAGATCCTTTGCCACGAGAAAGAGAAATAGGTAGATGTTCCAAAGGTAATTCTTTGAAATGGCAGCTATGCTGAGACTCCGACAACACAGTGGCTCCTTCTGGTTTGCTTTTATTGCCATCTGGCAGACAAATTATGGGCAGCTCCACTACTCAGTTCCTGAGGAAGTCCCAAAAGGCTCTTTCGTTGGGAATATAGCAGAGGACCTAGGACTGGGTTCCAATAAATTGTCTGACAACAGAGTTCGCATCATCTCTGAAGGTATGCTTCAATATTTTACTTTGAATTCTAAGAATGGCCAGTTATATGTCTCCGAAAGGATAGACAGAGAAGAAATATGTGGGTGGGAAGAGAAGTGTGTTTTAAGTCTTGAAGTCCTTGTTGAGGATAAAATGAAACTGTTCACTGTAGAAATTGAAATCACAGATATAAATGACAATGCTCCAACTTTCACCCAGGAACGCTTAGATCTTAAAATAAGTGAAACGGCCATTGTAGGGACTCGTATTGCCTTGCAAGAAGCTCAGGATTCTGACATTGGAGATTATTCCCTTCAGAACTACCATCTGAGCAGCAGCAGGTATTTCTCCCTGAAACTGCAGAGCAGATCTGATAAGGACAAGTTTCCAGAACTGGTGCTAGAGAAATCTTTGGACAGAGAAGCGGAAGCATTTTACTCACTCATCCTAACGGCCACTGATGGTGGGCATCCCGTGAGGTCTGGCACTCTGCAGATCTATGTAACGGTTCTTGATGCAAATGATAATGCACCCATTTTCAACCAACCTCTCTATAAAGTGAGTGTTTTGGAAAGTGTTTCCATAGGCTCCCTGCTGCTTACTGTAAATGCTACAGATGCCGATGAAGAAACAAATTCTGAGGTGATTTACTCATTCCTAAAAATAAAGGAGAAAGCATCGCAACTCTTTCAAATAAATTCTAGAAATGGGGAGATATCAACAACAGGGAAGTTGGACTATGAAGAAGATGCATTACATGAAATAGAAGTTCAAGCAAAGGACAATGGAGGTCTCTCCGACAGGGCTAAAGTCTTGATCATCCTTATTGACGTTAATGACAATGTTCCCAAGATAACTATTACTACCTTCTTCAGTTCAATCAGTGAAGGAAGCTCTCCAGGAACTGTGGTTGCTCTACTAAACATACAAGACAGAGATATGGGTGAGAATGGAGAAATCTTGTGCTCAGTTCCTAAAACTCTTCCTTTCCACTTAGAGAAATCCTTTGATAACTATTACCATTTGATGACTGACAGAGTTCTCGACAGAGAAGAAACATCAAATTATAGTATAACTATCATGGCTACAGACAAAGGGAACCCTCCATTATCAACCACTACGGTGTTCTTTGTAGAAATTTCAGATGTAAACGACAATGCCCCAATCTTCAATAACATACAATATACTTCTTATGTAACTGAGAATAACATCAGAGGAGCATCTGTTTACTACATGAAAGCAAGTGATCCTGACTGCATGGAAAATGCTACAGTCACTTTTTCAATCATTGATCAAAGTGTTGGCGATTCTACTCTTTCATCCTACCTTTCTATTAACTCTGAAACGGGGGTTGTTTATGCCTTGATCTCTTTTGATTATGAAGAGATTAAAGAGATTAATTTCCTTGTCAAGGCTCAGGACGGAGGCTCTCCACCACTCAGCTCCGACGTCTCAGTGACTCTCTTCATCCTGGACCAGAATGACAATGCTCCCCAAATCCTTTACCCTTCCCCTCCCACTGATGGCTCCACGGGGATAGAGCTGGCCCCTCGCTCCTCTGAGCCAGGCTACCTGGTCACTAAGGTGGTGGCCGTGGATGCGGACTCTGGCCAGAATGCCTGGCTCTCCTACCAGCTGATCAAGGCCACCGAGCCAGGGCTCTTCACTCTGGGGCTCCACACGGGAGAGATCAGGACAGCCCGATTCTTTCTGGAGAAAGATGCCCTCAAGCAAAGCCTGGTGGTTTTAGTGAAGGACAATGGGCAGCCTCCAATGTCGGCGTCAGTCACTGTCACTGTGGTCTTGGCAGACAGCATCCCTGACATGCTGACTGATCTGAGCAGCGTCCCAGTATCTGAAGACCCACAGTCAGATCTCACCTTCTACTTGGTGACTGCAGTGGCTTTTGTCTCCTGCTTGTTCCTCGCCTTCCTCCTTGTGTTACTGGCACTCAAACTTCGCAGGTGGAAAAATTCTCAACTGTGTGATAATGCAAGTTTGAATTTCAGTGGTGCACCAGTTTCACAGTTTGTGGGGATTGACGGAGTCCGGGCATTTCTTCAGTCTTATTGCCATGAGGTTTCACTGACTTCAGGCTCTCGGAAAAGTCAGATTTTTTTCCCAATTGGAAGCTGTACCAATACTCTGACACCACAACAGGCTCCGGATAAGCCAGATCCTATATTACTCATAGGTGATTCTAACACTGTTCAGGAGCAGGCAGCAACCTGTCAAGTGAGTACATGAATTTCAGTACTTCCGTTTATTTTAAAGTTCAGAAAGTCAGTTCTTTTATTTGTCCTTATTCAATAGGTTTCATTTTATGTAATTTAATTATTTTTTTAAAATTACAAAGCTTAATTTAATTCTTTGCAATAAATTTTAGTGTCATTTCCTTTTTTTAACAGATGAAGCAACTACTTCATTAATTTAAATAAATATTGCATTTTATCTAGGTAGTGTTTTAATGATTCCTCTGAGTGTAAAATTTGCTACTGACGGGAATAGCAAAGCCAGATCATGTATTGCATCAAAGTAATCTTACTTGCGGAATTTCTATAAGATGGTTGTAAGAAGCTTCTCGGGGTGTCATCAAGGGATTTGGAGGGCAGTGTCAATGACACTTAGATGACACTCAGGTCCATTTTTTTGCATATCATCAGAAGCAAGAGAACCCGTTCAGGTCCTGAATCACTATCTGCAGGTAGTATTGAGCTGGATATGGGCCATTAAGTTGAAGCTAAATTCTGACAAGATGCAGGCATGGTAGGTTGGCAGTTTCCAGATCTGAGGACTAGGTTGATGACCTGTTCTGGAAGAGGTAACAATTGTCTTTAAAGGAACCACATTGTAGTCTGGGGCTGTTGTTGAATTCTACATTGTCACTGGAGTCTGAAGTGACATATCTGACAAAGAATATCTATTACCTGCTTTGACAGGTTCTTCAGCTACAGTTGTTCTGCTGCTGCGATCCAGGCTCAGGTAATCCCCTGAATGGATTACTATAATGCACGCTACATGGAGCTATCTCTGTAGATGGCTCAGAAGATACAGCTAAGCACAGAATGCACCTCCCAGATTGCTGAATGGTACAGCCAGTCTTGTCCAAACAGCACTGGTCCTGAAGAACTGATGCTGAGTGTCTGTACATTTCTGACCCCAATTCAAGGAAGGAATATTTGCTTCTGTATGAAACTGTCCAGTCTGATCTCTCTCTGTGTGTGCATTCTCATTGTTCCCCTATCTAATGAAGTGGAGGGGGGAGCATGCAGGAAAAAACCTTCTTTATTTGAGAACTTCACTTTTGCCCCTTATCTTATTGCCACTTAAGGACAAACCTCTTTGTTCAGGCGTTTGGAGAGGGGTTGGTACTGTGGCCAGTAGCTGTTAGGGTATCACCTGCAACGTAATGGTCCATTTATTAGAGTTACTGTGTATATTTTACATGTTTTGTATTGTGTCTTATGTTTTATGGTATTTGACCTGCTTGGCTCAGATCTATATTTTGTTGTAACTCCCCCTGGGATCAATGATGAGGGGTGGCTTTATAAACAGAAGGAAGGACTCTCGTGTTCCAGAAGACATTACTTTTAAGCAATTTGTATTGGAAAACATCTCCTAATAGGACTGTGATCAGTAATGAAAAGACCAGTGTGTCTTGGTACCAACACATATGTTTGCAATAGTGATTGGCTTCACAAGCTGTGTGCCATAATGTCAGGGTGCAGTAATAGCCATTTCACTGCATCCAGTATTGAAAAATGGGTGGAGAGGAGGTTGGTTAAAGTGGAAAAAAGGTAAAGGTAATGGTAAAAGACCCCTGGGTGGTTAAGTCCAGTCAAAGGCGACTATGGGGTGCAGCACTCATCTTGCTTCAGGCCAAAGCAGCCGCTGTTTGTCCTCTTGACAGCTTTCCAGATCATGTGGCCAGCATGTCTAAACTGCTTCTGGTGCAACAGGACACCATGATAAGTTCCAGAGCACATGGAAATGCTGTTTTCATTTCCATCATATGTAATTTTTGCATCGTATGTGAGACTGCAACTGAACAGATTCATTATTCAGTTCCCAAGGAAATGGCAAAAGGTTCCTTTGTGGGGAATATTGCAAAGGATCTTTGGTGGAGCTGAATTGTTGCTTAGTCAAAACATGAGATCAGTTCTGTGGTTTCTGTGGCAAATCAGAAATTTACTTAGAAGCTTATTCCACTTTCTTAACAACCCTGAACTTTCATATCAGAATATAACTGATCTGCAGAAAGGACTTTATGATCTGAAAATAAAGACAATGTCTACTTTTGTAGCCCAAGATAATCTTTAATAATCTTTAATAAAAACAATTAAAAAGTGAGCGAGCGAGCGAGAGAGAGAAAATCAGCTAATTCTGGCCAGTGAGAGAAATGAACCAACATAAGGATGTATATTCAAAACTAAAACAGGGAATTGCTGTCTATTTAGGGTTCACTGTGGTGGTGTGAAATTCCAGCCACTCTACATGGGACCTTTGAGCTACACTGGAATATAGAACTATATCACAGGTACAAATAAAAAATGTGTTGTGTGAGGGGCACTGGCATTGTATTAGTTGCCAGTTATCAATAAAGACCTTTTGGAATCATTATGAATTGCCACTTGAAATGGTCAGGTAAGTGCACTGCAGTTGTCAATCAGAAATCAGAACAGAGCAAGAACATAATGCAAAAGCTGTTATAAAGGTCCAACCATGCTTCGAGAATATTGTGCTGTTCCTGATCATGCTTAAAAAGAATATAGCACAACTCAAAAGAAGTAAAGAAAAGGCCAATGAAAACTATCAAGAAAGACAAGTCTTCCAAATGAGGTAAGTTTAAAAGATTAATGCTGATCCTAAGCCACACTGCATACCTGCAGGAGAGCAAAGAAGTGGAAGCGCTATGGAGAGGCTATAGGGCATTTTTTTCCTTGTTCACACTGGGATCACCACACTCAATAGCCATTTCCAACCATTTTACACAATGCTAAAACAAACTCAAATTCAATACACCAGCAAATAACAACAACATATGCAATAAGCTATGCAATACAGTACCAGATTTCATTCAGTTGTTTTTTTAATGTATGTTTCGGTGTTACATATAACAGAAATTTTGACACTAAATATTTTTTTAGAACATATGGAATACACATAAGGTTGCTGTGCTACCAGAATGACTGTGTGGAACTGTAATCCTGTTACCTGGATAACAGCTATACAAGTGGGACTTTGTTATATTTAGGAAATATAATAATTAGCACACTGATCATTAAAAGTGTATGTGAGATGTTTGGGTAGGTGGGAATCATCCATAAAATAATCCTGTCATAATATAAAGCACCATGCAAAATACCTAGGACACAGCATACCTATATAAAAAGCTACAGTTTGCTGCAGTGTAATCCACATTTTTTTTGAATCAATAACTGAAATGTTTGGGTCATGCACCTGACTGCCCCGTGTCCATCGCTTGCTATGGGGTGGGAGGAGAGAAGAAGACAATTATAATTTGTAAATCTCAACCAACATCACTAGCATATATGAGCATGTACCTAAATGCATTGCAATAGGAACATGCTGGACAATTTCTGCATTGTTATTGTAAGTAAAGCAAGATCCTCTGAGTTGTTTTACTTTGGAGCTTCTCCCAGGAGGATCATTTGCTTGGAATGATAGATATTCCTATATCAGAATGAAAGTACAAAAGGCATACACCCCATCTGAGGAATTGTTGTAACATGGTGGTGCAGTTTTTGGTTGAGACTCTAGGTGTCGCTGCTCCCTAACCAGGTAGAGAAATGCAATGAGAGATGTTGCCATCTCAGTGCTGCTGCTCCACCTAGAAAGAGAATGCAAGGGAACAGAAACAAAGAAGATCTAGATCCATTGGATTTGCTATTTTATTTTATTTTATTTTTGCTAAGATATTGGACCATCCAGGTTTAAGGGACTGAAAGTAAGAAGATAACATCTGGAAATGGCTATTGCAACACATTTCTGTCTTAGGTTCTACAAGGACACAGCTTTCATTTCCATCATATTTTTTTGCATCGCATGTGAGACTGCTGCTGAACAGATTCATTATTCAGTTCCTGAGGAAATGCCAAAAGGTTCCTTTGTGGGGAATATTGCAAAGGATCTTAGACTGGATATAAAGGATTTTCCACATTATGGAGTCAGCTTTGTTTGCAGAGGTAAGATGGAATATTTTGCTTTAAACAATAAGAATGGCCATTTATACATTAAGGAAAGACTGGATAGAGAGCAGACCTGTCCCCAGATACAAAGATGTCTCTTTAATTGTGAAGTTATTATAGAAGATGCAATGAAGATTTATACAATTGAAGTAGAAATAATTGATGTCAACGACAATGCTCCAAGCTTCAAATCAGCTCAACTCCAGATAAAAATCAGTGAGATGACTGAAGGTGGGACACGATTCCGTCTGGAAGATGCCCAGGATCCAGATTTAGGGATGAATTCTGTCCAGAATTATAAACTCAGTGCAAACAAACACTTTTCTCTGGATGTGCAAACTGGATTGGATAGTGCAATATATGCAGAGATTGTACTGGAAACATCATTGGACCGAGAAGAACAAAATGTGCATGACCTTATTCTCACCGCCTTTGATGGGGGGGATCCACCCAAATCTGGCACAACCCAAATCCATATTATTGTCCTTGATGCAAATGACAATGCACCCATCTTTAGTCAACCTGTATACAAAGTGACCATTGCAGAAAATGTGCCCACAGGCTATGCAGTAGTCACAGTAAAAGCCACTGACCTGGATGAAGGAATCAACAGAGAAATAACATACTCCTTCAGAAAAATATCTGACACAGCTTCTCAGAACTTCCACATAAACTCAGAGACAGGTGAAATTATTCTTGTGGGGAAGCTGGATTATGAAGAATCTACACTGTATGAAATAGAGATTCAGGCCATTGATGGGGGAGGACTATTTAATATATCAAAAGCTGTGATTTTTGTAAGTGATGTTAATGACAACGCACCTGAAATAGCTGTCAGGTCACTTGCCAATTCAGTTCCTGAGGATTCTGAAGCTGGAACTGCCATTGCCTTGATAAACGTGCACGATGATGATTCTGGAGAGAATGGGAAAGTCCTATGTTCTATTCCTAGTAATATCCCTTTCCAATTAACAAAAGCAAATGCTAACTATTACACTATGGTCATTGCTAGACCGCTGGACAGGGAGCAAGTAGCAGCCTACAACATCACCATCACAGCCTCAGATCAAGGGATGCCACCTCTTTCATCAACCACTTTAATCCTCCTTCAGGTTTTAGACAAGAATGACAATGCTCCATACTTTATGCAACCAGAATATACTTTCTACCTTGTGGAGAACAACCAGAGAGGGGACTCTATATTTTCTCTGAAAACAGAGGATCCAGACTGGGGGGAAAATTCAAAAACAACCTATTCCATCATTGAAAGTCAAATGTTTGATTCCTCACTCTCCTCCTACCTTTCCATTAATTCGGAAACAGGGGTTGGTTATGCCTTGAAAACCTTTGATTATGAAGAGTTTCGGGAGATTAAGTTCCATGTAGGGGCTCAGGACGGAGGTTCTCCACCACTCAGCTCCAACGTCTCAGTGACTCTCTTCATCCTGGACCAGAATGACAATGCTCCCCAAATCCTGTACCCCTCCCCTCCCACTGATGGCTCCACAGGGATAGAGCTGGCCCCTCGCTCCTCAGAGCCAGGCTACCTGGTCACTAAGGTGGTGGCCGTGGATGCGGACTCTGGCCAGAATGCCTGGCTCTCCTACCAGCTGATCAAGGCCACCGAGCCAGGGCTCTTCACTCTGGGGCTCCACACGGGAGAGATCAGGACGGCCCGATTCTTTCTGGAGAAAGATGCCCTCAAGCAAAGCCTGGTGGTTTTAGTCAAGGACAATGGGCAGCCTCCAATGTCGGCATCAGTCACTGTCACTGTGGTCTTGGCTGACAGCATCCCTGACATGCTGACTGATCTGAGCAGCGTCCCAGTATCTGAAGACCCACAGTCAGATCTCACCTTCTACTTGGTGACTGCAGTGGCTTTTGTCTCCTGCTTGTTCCTCGCCTTCCTCCTTGTGTTATTGGCACTCAAACTTCGCAGGTGGAAAAATTCTCAGCTGTGTGATAATGCAAGTTTGAATTTCAGTGGTGCACCAGTTTCACAGTTTGTGGGGATTGATGGAGTCCGGGCATTTCTTCAGTCTTATTGCCATGAGGTTTCACTGACTTCAGGCTCTCGGAAAAGTCAGATTCTTTTTCCAATCGGAAGCTGTACCAATACTCTGACACCACAACAGGCTCCGGATAAGCCCGGCCCTGTGTTACTCATAGGTGATTCTAACACGGGTACGGAGGAGGCAGCAACCCATCAGGTGAGTAAATAAATTTCAATACTTTGGCCCTCATTATTCAATAGGTTCTATTTTATGAAATTTAAAAGAATTTCTAAAATAACAAATCCTGGAAAAATCTGTTTATGCTTTCTGTAATAAAGATGTAAAGAGAGATGGTGTTTCATTAAATGATGAAGCACTTACTTTATTGATTCTAATAAATAATGTATTTTGATCTATGTCATATTTTAAACAATTTTTCTAAGGATAACGGAAAGCTGGATCAGATTTTGTTTTGAAAGGAAACTTGTGTACTATTCCTAAAGACCTTTATTGTGCATAACTTATATTGAAATCCACCTTCTGACCAGGTTAGAAACAGTCACAGGAAGGCCAATATTCTTTGTTCTATCACAGAAGTGTTTAGGAGGCTGGCAACGATCCTTGGCTTTTCCACTTGCCTGCCACAATGCAGGAGGTTGCTGGAGAGGGGAAAGGAGCAATACTAAGGTCTGGTCAGCTGCATACAATCTGAACTATATTTAAGGCAATAGCCAGGCACATACATTAGCACAGCTTTGTGACCTAGTATTTCTTTTTAACCTTTTATAATACGGTTGTCAGTGATGGATGGTCTGCAAGAACAGACATTTGTCTCTTTTCTGTGAAGCTACTCAGGTTTGTAGCCAAACCACTCAGTGATCCTCCAGCAGAACGCTTGCCCACAGTTATCTTTTCAGCAGATAAGAGGGCGTGCAAGTGATAGAACAGCCTTCACATGAGGTTTTGTTTAGGAATGTACAACTTTTGCTACTGAAACTCAATAAAAGTTATTTTGGAGTTCCTTGAAATGGTTGGCTCATTGCAATGCAAGAAGATAATGTTGTTATAATGATGTAGCCACCAATATCATGCAGTTTGGATTACTTCCACCATAAAAAGTTATAGCATGACTGAAAAAAGTGTGGAGAAGGACAATAACGATTTTCAGTGATGAAAATGCATCCTTATGAGGAGAGTTCAAATCATTCATGCATAGCTTCAGGCAGCAGTGGACAGAGCATGGTGGGCAGCCTGACCTCCTGGCAGGTGAGTTGCTGCCCTTTACCATGAGGGGGCACTGCAGCAGTGATGTTGGCACACTGCAGTGAGGTTGGTATTGAAATCAGTAAGTGTGTAAAACAGACATAAACTTGATTGATTTAATCTTTCTCTGGATTATGGTCCTGAGATTAGAAGTACAGTTACTATCATTCTAAAAAATCAATTTTGCTTTAATCTGTTCCTCCTCTTTAGTGGTCATGGTTCTATGGATTTCGTAAGGTGAATTGAAACTGGTACATATCAAGTTTCAGTATTTAGATCGCATCGCAGTAATTAATTTCATGATCTTAATCTATGTTGGCCTCAATGTTATATACGTGCACACAGAAGCTCCTTTGTTGGTACTTTTTGGTCTAATGATTTCCACATTGGTGTGTGACAGGTGAATCTAAGAAAGCATTCACTGAAGGATTGTCCAGTGGTCCAGGCTCCAACACTAAACAGCAATGAAGGTTGAAACACTCCCTTCATCAGGTCATATTAAATTACCCACATGAAAAGGCTATGTTAAAATTCAGATAGGATCCTGTACATGTTGAAATACAGAACTGAGCTGAATGAGCTTTCAAAATTAACCTTTTACAATGGAAATCAGGACATTGTGGTGCTAAGGAGGACAAATGTTGAGAAATGGGGTAAGGAGCTTACTAGGGAAAGCAACAGCAGCAAATTCTCCCTCCCTTTTAGGCTGTGTACACAGCACACACTTAAAGCACATGGCTTTCCCCAAAGAATCCTGGGAACCATATTTTACCCCTCTCAGAGCTAAAATTCCCAGCATCCTTAACAACCTACAGTTCCTTGGATTCTGTGGGTGGGTGTGCATATGCAGCCAGTTTAGCTGGTTCTACAAGCAGTGGCAGCAATGGGACACAATGTTCCTATGTAATGCTTCAGTTATGTGACATTAAGAAGCCCTTCCAGAGGCCTTGTGTGCTCTGGTGAAGAATGTGGTGGTCCCTCACTGGCAGAGAACATCTGCTCAGCTGCTTCCACTTCCCATAGATTGGTGCCTCTAGATGCACAAAAGGCTTCAGTCATCTACTACAAGTTGGAAGGCCATGGAACCAGCCACAGAGGGGTATGTGTGGTGGTGCCAGCCTTGCATCCTTGTACTACTGTCTCAATAATGTACGTAGTATTTACTATTATTGCTTGAAGCGAGCTTTGATGGCAAAGGAAACTGCATTACATGAATTCAGGCATGTAATAATAATAATAATAATAATAATAATAATAATAATAATTTATTTATACCCCACCTATCTGGCTGGGCTTCCCCAGCCACTCTGGGCGGCTTCCAACAAAATATTAAAATGCTGTAATGCATCAAACATTAAAAGCTTCCCTAAACAGGGCTGTCTTCAGATGTCTTCTAAAAGTCTGGTAGTTGTTGTTCTCTTTGACATCTGGTGGGAGGGCGTTCCACAGGGTGGGCACCACTACCGAGAAGGCCCTCTGCCCTCTGCCTTCATTCAGTGTGGTATTGTCTACCACATTTAGTCTTCTAAATCTTTAGACTATCTATGGTCATATTCTTGAAAAGGTTTCCTTTAAAATGGAAAATAAACATGTGTCTTAACTGAACATTTCCCATAAATATTTTAGAACAAAATGTTAAGAGATGATTATTGAAAGCAAATGCTACTCATTTATGAAATTCCACTGCTTTTCTGTGCCAAAGAAATTTATTCAGGGTCTCTGGAAGGACTCACAGACCCTCCAAGTACCCCTATTTTCCAAGAACAGCTCCAGATTTACAGAAGCCATCCTGGTTTCTGATTTGATCCTGCAATGTCCCACTTTTCCTTAGGATGTTCCTATTTTCATCAAAGAAATGTTGGAGGGTATGTCCGTATTTTCATCGGAGAAATGTTGGAGGGGCATGGAATGGGATGGCCAAGGGGCTTTTTTTCAGCCAGAACTCACCAGAACTCAGTTCCAGCACCTCTCAGGTGGGCGCCATTGCAAGAGAACAAGGGAGGCATTCATGGTGAGTTCCAGAACCTCTTTTTCTAGGAAAATGACACTGGACATCCCTTTTTTCATTAGAGAAATGCTGGAGGGTATGGTCTCACAGTCACAGCAAATGCAGAGAAACATCAAATGATAAATTGACATGTACTAGGTTTTTACATAAACAGCACAATTTACATAAATGACACAAAATGAAAAAATAGTGCCACTCCTTCCTTGGTTGCCATCAGAGCCTTGGCCTGGCTACTGGCCACAATGGGAGGAAGACTGCCTCTGTCCACTGGCTTCAGCTCCACAGCCGCCTTCCCAAAAGGCTGTCAACACCAACAACTCAGGGAAATGAAAGGAACAAGTCCTTTATAAAGTAAAAGAAGCAAAGCAGACAGGGAATTACACCTTTGGGAACTGCGTAGTTTGTTTTGAATTTTTAAATCAAACCTCAGTCCTGACCTGCAGTTAAGGGCTCAGGGCCTTACAGAGATGGCCAAACTTCATCCTCACTGGCTGAGGTAAGTGATCTCCCTTTCTTACAAAGGGATAACTGCCCATGATGGCGGCTGCTCCTAGCTTCAGCTCTCTTACAGGGCATGTGTATATCCTTCCTCCAGAAGTCTTAAAGGACGATTCACAAGCACAAATAAGTATAGATTTATTTGTATTGAAGCCTTATTGGAGTTCACCGATTGGGTCTGCGTTGCTCCGTGACAGGAGGAAGGAAGTCAAAATGACACCGAGTTGGTTCAAAGAAAGAGTTTATTCTGCTCTCCGGATAGCAGAAGGCACTTGCATGACAGCAAGTCCAAAGAAATGACAGGTTTCATGCAGTTTATATATCCTCCAGGCACCCTCTCACTCCTCCCCTAGGAGCCCAACCACGTCAGCCTACGTACACAGGTTGACATCACATATGTTCCTGCTCTGGTACTCTCAACCATAAAAGGATCTTCCTTCCTGTACTTCTGAGCATAAAAGGATCTTCCTCTTCCTACTCTTATCTGGGACGCAGAGGTCACCATTTCCAAGAACACACTCTGGCATTATTCCCAGACGTGGGTCTGCGCGTCTTTGTGGTCAGCACATAAGATAAAGTTCTGATGTGTTTTCGTTGTTCCCCTGGGGAGCCAAGGCCATCCCTTGCCTGTCCTGATAAAGGACAGAACTGTTTATGCAGTTGTGTCCTTATTATGGTTTTGCTCAACAGTTCAAGTTTTACGCATTTAAAAGTGCTCTCTTTTGAAAGAACAAAAGGGGGGGTTGAGTCAGTTTTTAAACTTACTACACAGAAACCCATTCCTTCAGTATAGCTTGGAACACAAACTTCTTCCTTCCACCATGGACATAACTATTTCTACACTGAAAGGGTTTAAGCATAACTACCGTAACTACATTTACATAGGCTAAGGAAGAAAAGACCCACATCTAATTCTACACATTTTAAAGTAACCTTTATTTCTTTGTAGCTAGGCTACAGACTGGGCAAATCTGATGGAAACATCAGATCAGTGACAAAAATTCTATACGCTTTAATAGATAGTAATTCCATCTGGTGAACTATGATAGAAGGATATTCTAATGTGGAGCATCAGAATAAATAGCTCTCAAGGCTCTGATGCCTGACTTTTGAAGATTGAAGCCAATGAATTAACACTGGTGTTCATGCATGGAATTTAGTCCTAGTTTATTAAAATAAGTGAATAATCTCTTACACGCACTATTTTATACAGAGTTGTCAATAAATGCCTAAAACACCAGTCTATTTAAAAAAAAAATTGTAATAGCCGACAACAACCACCAGTACAAATTTATCTGAAGTCTAAATGTTTGATGTTGTTTCTTTAGGGCAATTTTTTACTTATAAAAATTTATACTCGTGTTATGCCCATTCTTAAAGCAAAATAATTGTTTCATAATGGCAAATACAGGACTACCAATGTAGGAAAAATAATCTCCAGTTTTCAGTTGAGCCTCTGAGTGTCGCTGTTTACTAATCTGGCACAGGAAGACAGATATTCAGCTAACCCAGCCATAGTATTCTTAAACACAAGCACAAAATATCTGATGCATCAAACTTGCACAGATATTGTAGGCACTGTTAAGAGAGACTTCTATTTTTTATTTTTTTTAAAACCACTAATTTAAAACCCAGAAGCTCCTGAGTCCTAGAAAGTGTTGCAAGATAATGGAAGAAAATCAAAAGCTGTGGATCTGCAAAGAAAGGGTCTTACGATGCCTCATAATTGTGCTTGCTTGGAAGATAGTTTCTGGGAAGATTCATTATTCCATTCCTGAGGAGATGCAGAAAGGCTCTTTTGTGGGGAATATTGCAAAGGATCTAGGCGTGGATGGAAATCATCTTTCAGACCACGGATTACGGATTGTTACCAGGTCAGGTACGAGTCAGTATTTTGCTTTGAATTACAACAGTGGCCATTTACAAACCTCTCAGAGAATAGACAGAGAGGAAGTCTGTGGAAGGGCAGAAAGGTGTGTTTTAAGTTTTGATGTTATAGTTGAGAGCAAAATAGAGATCTATGGGGTTCAAGTGGAAATTATTGATATAAACGATAATGCTCCCCAGTTCTCATCGGGGAAACAGGAACTGAAAATCAGTGAGGCATCTACTGCTGGATCCCGGTTCCCTCTGCCTGAAGCTCAGGATCCAGACCTAGGGATAAATTCTATACAGACCTACCAACTCACAGGCAGTAGCCATTTTTCTCTGGAGGTGCAAGTTGAAGAAAATGGTGTCAAATCTGCTGAGCTGGTGTTGGGGAAAAATCTGGACCGGGAAGAGCAATCTGTTTTCAATCTGATCCTCACAGCTACTGATGGAGGCGATCCAGTCAGGTCCAGCACTGCTAACATCCAAGTCATTGTTTTAGATGCAAATGACAATGCACCTGTTTTCAGCAAACCAATCTATGAAATGAGCATCAAGGAGAACATTCTGAACGGGTCCAGCATTGCTACAGTTAGTGCTACTGATCTGGATGAAGGACAAAACGGAGAGATAAAATATTCATTCAAAAAAATCACAAAGAAGGATTCCAAAATGTTTATTTTAAACTCAACGACTGGTACAATTACCTTAATGGGAAACCTTGATTATGAGGAATCATCCTCCTATGACTTTGAGGTGAAGGCTGAGGATGGAGGAGGGCTGAGTGACTGGTCAAAAGTTGTGATAATTGTTACGGATGTTAATGACAATGCACCTGAACTATCAATAACCTTTTTCATCAATACCATTTCTGAGAATTCACCAATAGGAACAGTTATTGCCCTTCTAAATGTACAAGATGAAGATTCAGGGGTCAATGGGGAGGTCACATGTTCAATTCCCAGTAAGCTCCCTTTCCAACTAAAACAGTCTTTTGATAACTTTTATAGTTTGGTGACACAAAGCAACCTTGACAGAGAGAACAAAGCAGACTACAACATCACTATCACAGCTACTGACCATGGAATTCCACCACTTTCTGTGTCAACTTTTATCCTACTTCAAATCCAAGACACAAATGACAACCCTCCTGTTTTTGCAGAACCATCTTACTTGGCTTATTTTACAGAGAACAATCCAAGAGGAGCTCAAGTATTTTCCTTAAAAGCAAATGATCCAGACTGGGAGGAAAATACCAGAATAAGTTATTCCATAACTGAAGGGAACATGGACAAATTCCTTATTACCTCCTACCTCTCCATTAACTCTGAGACAGGGGTCATCTATGCTCTGAGTTCTTTTGACTATGAAGAGATCAGGGAGCTGAAGTTCCTGGTCAAGGCTCAGGATGGAGGTTCTCCACCACTCAGCTCCAACGTCTCAGTGACTCTCTTCATCCTGGACCAGAATGACAATGCTCCCCAAATCCTGTACCCCTCCCCTCCCACTGACGGTTCCACAGGGATAGAGCTGGCCCCTCGCTCCTCAGAGCCAGGCTACCTGGTCACTAAGGTGGTGGCCGTGGATGCGGACTCTGGCCAGAATGCCTGGCTCTCCTACCAGCTGATCAAGGCCACCGAGCCAGGGCTCTTCACTCTGGGGCTCCACACGGGAGAGATCAGGACGGCCCGCTTCTTTCTGGAGAAAGATGCCCTCAAGCAAAGCCTGGTGGTTTTAGTCAAGGACAATGGGCAGCCTCCAATGTCGGCGTCAGTCACTGTCACTGTGGTCTTGGCAGACAGCATCCCTGACATGCTGACTGATCTGAGCAGCGTCCCAGTATCTGAAGATCCACAGTCAGATCTCACCTTCTACTTGGTGACTGCAGTGGCTTTTGTCTCCTGCTTGTTCCTCGCCTTCCTCCTTGTGTTACTGGCACTAAAACTTCGCAGATGGAAAAATTCTCAGCTGTGTGACAATGGAAGTGTGCATTTTGATGGTGCTCCCATCTCCCAGTTTGTGGGGATTGACGGAGTCCGGGCATTTCTTCAGTCTTATTGCCATGAGGTTTCACTGACTTCAGGCTCTCGGAAAAGTCAGATTCTTTTTCCAATCGGAAGCTGTACCAATACTCTGACACCACAACAGGCTCCTGATAAGCCAGGCCCTGTGTTACTCATAGGTGATTCTAACACAGTTACGGAGGAGGCAGCAATCCATCAGGTGAGCACATAAGTTTCAGTACTTCCCATTTGATCTTCCAGTATTCTAAAATGCATAGGAAACTTTCCTGAGTATAAAGATTTTCTGAATGCTGCTACTGCCATTGTTTAACAATGTATAATGATCTCTAGAACAGATAGGTTGTCTTTCTTACTCTATGTCTTGGTGGTATGTCTTGTAGTGCTGATGCCAGGTGAAGTCATCTTGCATATTCTGTAGTACGTCTCTACCATGTGCACAATGAAATTTGCCTTTTGAAAACGTTCCGTTGCTGACCTTCTGAATGCCTGTAGATGCAATGCTCCCTTTTTGTCAACAATTTTATGTGGGGTTATAAATTGATGCTCCCCTTTTCATCAAATACATTCAGGCTTCAGTTCTTTGCCACAATGGTGCTGGTCAACGTAAATGCTATATTTATCTTGTTTTTGTTTTTTATTTGAAGAAGTGTATTATCTATCTATATGTATCTTCCTATCTATCATCTATCTATCTATCTATCTATCTATCTATCTATCATCTATCTATCTATCTATCTATCTATCATCTATCTATCTCTATCTATCATCTATCTATGAGAAAGAACACACATATATATGAAATAACATTAGTAAAACAAATCAGCAATAGCTCTGTATCCAAAAATTGTTGTAACAGGGAACATAAAATGTGTAGTTTTTACTTTCATTAATTGTTAATGATATCCAGTGCTTTTTTTCAGCTGGAGTGCAGTTCTGGCACCTCTCAGGTGGGCGCCATTGTGGGTTGGCACCCCCCCCCCCCACTTCATGCCTTTACATATTTCTGAGAAGCACCCAAACTAACATTTCAAGTCAAAATGGAAGCTCCCCAGTGTGTCTACACTTTTTAAAGATCTATGATTCCACCCAGCTCCTAGCCGCTCTTAGCCATGATTGGTCAAGGTTAGGACTTAACTACAGGACTAATTCGTACTTCCTTTTCTTCAATCCGTCTGCTGTGTAGCGGCAGTGGGCTTTAAGCTGTCCCGCCAGCCTTCTACCATTGCATGAGTGTGCGTTTGTGCAAGGGCCCTTCTGAGCTGCCCTAGCCATCCGCCTGTATCTAAGAGAGCAAGGGAGGCAGGGGTACATTTATCTTTAATCCTATCCATATTCTGTGCCTAACACTAAGGCTAAATCCTGGGACATTTGGTACTAGATTTGGGAATATGGAGCATAAATACTATTATAGACTAATGGCATTGTTATCTCATTGTCTAAACTAATACTATCCTTCAGGCAAATAAAGGTATAGTGAAAAAATCTAGATATACTACTACTACTACTACTACTACTACTACTACTATATTATTTATACCCCGCCCATCTGACTGGCTTTCCCCAGCCACTCTGGGTGGCTCCCAACTGAATATTAAAAACACAATACAGCATCAAACATTAAAAACTTCCCTAAAAAGAGCTGCCTTCAGATGTCTTTTAAAAGTAAGATAGTCGCTTATTGCCTTGACATCTGATGGGAGGGCGTTCCACAGGCAGGGGCCACTACCAAGAAGGCCCTCTGCCTGGTTCCCTGTAACCTCACTTCTCGCAGTGAGGGAACCGCCAGAAGGCCCTTGGCGCTGGACCTCAGTGTTCAGGCAGAATGATGGGGGTGGAGACGAAGTTCCAAAATTATGGGTCAGACTACACATCTAGTAAAGAAGATGAAATGATAACTAAATCCTACCCCCTGGAAACAAAGGAGAATTAATTATATATATTTTAAAATACTTCTTCTAATTTCAGTGAGTTATTAAAGACAGTTACCAACCCTTACACACACACAAAATTAATAAGAATTCAGAAACCTGGTCCTAATGAACTCCATGTTGATTTGGTAAAGTTGCATTATTAAAGGAATGTGTAACCAGGGTTATCTTTCCCTTCTCCCCTAACAGTTCTAATTCAATACTTAAATAATATATAAATTTAATTAATTTTGGGGTGGGGAGGAGAAGCAGGAATTAGAAGTAATACAATGGAACAGATTTAGGCCAAAGGTATCAAGAATACTAAAATATTATAGATAGCATGCATCACAACTTCTAGCTTTGACTAATTGGCTAAACATGGGGAAATGCTGTAAAACATAACATTTTCAGTGACAATGATTGTCATTATATCTTAGAAGAGCTTGAGACTCTTAATCTCAGGGCCATGGTCCCTTCCAGCTCTATGATTCTATGAATATTGGTACAGAGAAACCCCCCAAAATACTAGAAAATATGTAATATCAACTAATACCAAAGGACACCATAATCTTGGCTGCAAAATATCATATTAGATAAAACACTATAGTATTTTGGGGAAACAAGACTTCAGTAACAGTCAGCCTAGTTATTGTACAGGAGATAATACACAACAACAATCTTCAGGTGAGCTTTTTCTCTTAACTGAAAAAGCAGACTCGGAGGTTGTAACTGGAAGTGCAAAGGACTACTGCCTCTTTCTCTTCCTGCTGTTTGCTGAAAACAAGCCTCCCTGGTTGCATTTTCATTCATGGAAAGATAGGGGGAGAAAATCAGTTTGGAAATTTTTGAATGAACAAATGGTAGGAATGAAAAAACAATAGCAAAGAAGAAGGAGAAGAAGAGTTTGGATTTGATACCCCACCTTTCACTCCCTTTAAGGAGTCTCAAAGCGGCTAACATTCTCCTTTCCCTTTCTGCCCCACAACAAACACTCTGTGAGTTGAGTGGGGCTGAGAGACTTCAGAGAAGTGTGACTGGCCCAAGGTCACCCAGCAGCTGCATGTGGAGGAGCGGAGACGCGAACCCGGTTCCCCAGATTATGAGACTACCGCTCTTAACCACTACACCACACTGACTCTCAAACACTAATCTTCCCTTTATTAAAGCCCATATACACAATGAGCTGCTCCTGCTCCTGATGGTGATGATTCCCAACAAGATTAAAAGTTATCTCTCTACCTACTTAATTGCACCATGTGGTGCTGCACTTGCAGGATGTGACAACACAACCAGCCGTTCCTCAGAACACCATTGGGTGGGTGGGTGCTGTGAAGTAGAAAGACATGAATTGCTCTGTGGCTCCAAGCCAAGGACGGCCACCCGAGAAAAGGTGAAAGTGGGTGTAGAATGACAATCTCTCCTTTTAGAAATTGCCATTCTCAATTTCAAGCAAATCTCAAGTATTGGAATGTGCCATTCAGGTAGGAATGAGTGTCAAGACTGAGTTCAGTGTTCGCTTCCTCCTCCTGCCTTGAAGAGCTGATAGTTGCTCATCACTTCTTCCCATAAAATATCATCTGATTTCCTGATTTCCTCCCCATCATGCCTTTAGAGTTGTGAATGGTAGCAGCATTTGAGAGTTTAATACTCTGTAGATTTGTGAAAGAAGTATTTTACCGCATGGATTATAAGTGGACATAGTGTGGGAGTAACGCATGTATTTGGATCATTTGTATTGTCAGTTTTTTGCTGACTCTCAGGTGTTGTAAGGGGTTGCTGACCTGTATAAAAATATTAGAGCCAAAAAAGCCACACCTGTTCCCACTGTCCAAATATTGTTATTCTATCTTCATTAAAAAAAAATGGATGGCAGATTAAAAGCATCATAAGTGATATCGGAGTGGCAAATTTTGAGAACCATTATTTCCAGATCCTATGGTTAGAGAACAAGAAAAGATTAGGTAAGTAATCTAGGACTTGTTAAGTGAAAAGATAACCAACACATAGACTCTTGACTCAGTGTATGTTCCATAGTGGTCCACGACACCCTTTCCAAGCCCTGAATCAGCAGCAAAACATTGTGACTTTATAAGAACATAATATGATTTCATAAGAAGAACCTGCTGGATGAGGCCAATAGCCCATGCAGTTCAGCATCCTGGCTGAGTGGTCAACCAGACACCTGTGGGAAACCTACAAATAGGACCTGAGCTCAAAAGCACCCTCGCATCCCGTGGATTCCAGCAACTGGTATTCAAAAGCATTACTGCCTCTAGCTGTGGAGGCAGAGCATAACCATTATGGGTAATAGCCTTCAGTAGCCCTTTCCTCCATGAATTTGTCTAATCCTCTTTTAAAGCCATCCGATTTATCATCACTGCGTCCTGTAGGCTTGCGTTCCTTCATTTAACTATGCACTGCTTGAAGACTTAGTTCCTTTTATCTGTTCTGAATCTCCCAGCGTTCAGCTTCACTGGATGTCCCTGCGTTCTAGTGTTTTGCATAATTATATAAACTTCTGTCATGTTACCTCTTACCCACCTATTCTTTAAACTACAAATTCCCAAGAGCTGCAAGTTTTCTTTGACCAAAATGGTCAAAGGCCTGGAAACGATGCCTTATGAGGAACGGCTAAGGGAGCTGGGCATGTTTAGCCTGGAGAAGAGGAGGTTAAGGGGTGATATGATAGCCATGTTCAAATATATAAAAGGATGGCACATAGAGGAGGGAGAAAGGTTGTTTTCTGCTGCTCCAGAGAAGCGGACACGGAGCAATGGATCCAAACTACTAGAAAGAAGATTCCACCTAAACATTAGGAAGAACTTCCTGACAGTAAGAGCTGTTCGACAGTGGAATTTGCTGCCAAGGAGTGTGGTGGAGTCTCCTTCTTTGGAGGTCTTTAAGCAGAGGCTTGACAACCATATGTCAGGAGTGCTCTGATGGTGTTTCCTGCTTGGCAGGGGGTTGGACTCGATGGCCCTTGTGGTCTCTTCCAACTCTAGGATTCTATGATTCTATGATTCTTCATAGAAGGGGTTGCTTGTACTCCTTGATAATTTTGCTTATTCTTTTTTGAATAGATCTCAGTGATCCACCAGGTGTATATGGGGACAGGAGTTCTTTCAGAAAACAAGGTCCTGAGTTGTTCAGGGCTTTGTTTCCTACATATTTAAATAATTTACCATGAAGTGCTCAGACCTCTTAAATGCTCTTGAGATACTGAGGGAGACTGAAACCACTGTGCCTTCTGATGTCTTCCTCTACCAACACACACATACATACATTATTTTATTTGTATGCCTCTTTTCCACAGTTCAGACCATGCTCAAGGTAGCTTACGACATAAAAAAATACATAACTACAACATAACGAAAGTAGTCATAAACAATAAATAAAACATGGAACTGATAATAAAACATGAAACACAACCAAACTGAACAGTTTCTACATAAATCACAAGATCTAAAATAAAGATACAAAAAACCAACAGCAACAACAGCAGCAAGCCCTCATCACCCCAAAAAAGCTACACCCCAGCCCCAATCGTCTCACCCGCCATCCTTTCCACTTTAAAATTCACTCACCAGAGCATAGAATGGGGCTGCTGGGTGCCTGAGGCCACGCCCCTCTACACAGTGCAGTTATCTTATGAATAAGCACATGCACTGTTGAAACATTTAAAGCAGCCTCTCTGAATGAGCACCTTGCTACCCTAACTGCAGATAAGCCTGGGGTGCTTTATAAAACATGCAATAAACCCTACTTACATGACTATATTAATAGATAATGAATGCAATCCTCCTAATGCAATTAACACCCCATATATTAATGCACATTACAAGCACAAGAAAAAAGCATCAACTTTTTAAAGTACTCCAGATGAAGATAATGAGATTGCCTCGCCATATCACTTGGGTCTATTAAACAGGATGTGGAACTTTCAGTCCATCACATCCCTGACTCAGATTGTCTAATATGAAAGTAAGATTATGTTTAAACGATCTATAGTTTTCAGTTGAGCCTCTGGGTGTCGCTGTTCACCAATTTGGCTACAGAACACACTGGGAGTTCCATAAATTCTCTACTGTATAAACAGAAAATATCTGCATGACCATACTTGCACACACATTGCAGGGAGTGTAATAGGAGCAACTTTAAATAAAAAATAACAGCATTTATTTCATACTCAAAAACGTCTGAGCCAGAATAAGTGGCATTTATCCTGTTGCAAGAAAATGGGAGGAAACCAGAAGCAATGGAGCTGTAAAGAGACAATCTTGTTGCAATGCCTCATATTGATGTTCATTTTGAAGACAGTTTCTGCACAACTTCATTATTCCATTCCAGAGGAGATGCAGAAAGGCTCTTTTGTGGGAAATATTGCAAAGGATCTAGGAATGGATGGAAATAATCTTTCAAACCGCGAGCTCCGGATTCTTACCAGAACAGGTATGATTCAGTATTTTACTTTGAACTACAACAGTGGTCATTTACAAACCACTGAGAGAATTGACAGAGAAGAAATTTGTGCATGGGCAGAGAAGTGCAAATTAAATTTTCAGGTTATTGTTGAGAGTAAAAGAAAACTTTATGGAGTTGAAGTGGAAGTTACTGATATAAACGATAATGCTCCCCACTTTCCTCCAGGACAACTGGAGGTGAAAATTAATGAAATATCTATAAAAGGGTCTCGGTTTCCTCTGCCTGATGCTACTGATCCAGATCTGGGGATAAATTCTGTTCAGAATTACCAACTCACAGGCAGCGTGCATTTTTCTCTGGATGTTCAAACAGGAGAAAATGGTCCCAAACATGCTGAGCTGGTGCTGGAAAAATCTTTGGACAGAGAGGAACAGCCAGTTTATGATCTAATTATTATGGCTATGGATGGGGGTGATCCTGTCAGGACTGGCACGGCCCAAATTCAAGTCATTGTTTTAGATGTAAATGACAACGCACCAATTTTTAGCCAACCAGTCTATGAAATCAGCATTGAGGAGAACATTCCCAAAGGGTCCATACTCTGTGCAGTCAAAGCCACTGATCTGGATGAAGGAATCAACGGAGAGGTGAAATACTCCTTCAAAAAAACCACAAAAAAGGATTCACAAATGTTTCTTTTAAATTCAACAACTGGCATAATAACCCTCATGGGAAACTTGGACTTTGAGACATCATCCTTCTATGAATTTGAGGTGCAAGCTGAAGACTTTGGAGGACTGTTTGACAGAGCAAAGGTTGAGATCATGGTCACAGATCTGAATGACAATGCGCCAGAATTAACTGTGACCTTTCTGACCAACTCCATTCATGAGAACTCATCAACCGGAACAGTTATTGCTATTATAAATGTAGAAGATCAAGATTCTGGAATCAATAGTGAGGTCACATGCACAATTCCCAGAAACCTCCCGTTTCAGCTAAAACAATCCATAGACAACTTTTATAGTTTGGTGACAGATGGCCCCCTTGACAGAGAACAAGTGGCAAACTACAACATCACCATCACAGTAACTGATCATGGAATGCCTTCTCTTTCTACAGCCACCATCATAGCTCTGCACATTTTAGACACAAATGATAACCCACCTCACTTTGCAAGATCAGATTACAAGTCATTTTTCATGGAAAATAATCAGAGAGGAGCATCCATCTTTTCTCTAAATGCAAATGATCCAGACTGGGAAGAGAACTCCAGAATAACTTATTCCATCATAGAAAGTCAAGTGACTGGCTCCCCTCTCTCCTCCTACCTCTCCATTAACTCAGAGACAGGGGTCATCTATGCTCTGAGTTCTTTTGACTATGAAGAGATCAGAGAGATGAGGTTCCTGGTCAAGGCCCAGGATGGAGGTTCTCCACCACTCAGCTCCAACGTCTCAGTGACACTCTTCATCCTGGACCAGAATGACAATACTCCCCAAATCCTGTACCCCTCCCCTCCCACTGATGGCTCCACAGGGATAGAGCTGGCCCCTCGCTCCTCTGAGCCAGGCTACCTGGTCACTAAGGTGGTGGCCGTGGATGCGGACTCTGGCCAGAATGCCTGGCTCTCCTACCAGCTGATCAAGGCCACCGAGCCAGGGCTCTTCACTCTGGGGCTCCACACGGGGGAGATCAAGACAGCCCGCTTCTTTCTGGAGAAAGATGCCCTCAAGCAAAGCCTGGTGGTTTTAGTCAAGGACAATGGGCAGCCTCCAATGTCGGCATCAGTCACTGTCACTGTGGTCTTGGCTGACAGCATCCCTGACATGCTGACTGATCTGAGCAGCGTCCCAGTATCTGAAGACCCACAGTCAGATCTCACCTTCTACTTGGTGACTGCAGTGGCGTTTGTCTCCTGCTTGTTCCTCGCCTTCCTCCTTGTGTTACTGGCACTCAAACTTCGCAGGTGGAAAAATTCTCAGCTGCCTGATAATGCAAGTTTGAATTTCAGTGGTGCACCAGTTTCACAGTTTGTGGGGATTGACGGAGTCCGGGCATTTCTTCAGTCTTATTGCCATGAGGTTTCACTAACTTCAGGCTCTCGGAAAAGTCAGATTCTTTTTCCAATCGGAAGCTGTACCAATACTCTGACACCACAACAGGCTCCGGATAAGCCCGGCCCTGTGTTACTCATAGGTGATTCTAACACGGGTACGGAGGAGGCAGCAATCCATCAGGTGAGCACATAAGTTTCAGTACTTCCTATTTGATCTCCCAGTATTCTAAAATGCATAGGAAACTTTCCTGAGTACAAAAGGTTTCCTGGCTCAGGCAATCACCATCTGGGAATGGAAGACTAAGAAGAACGACAGCATGGTGTAGATTGCACATCTCTTTCCGAGGCCCCTCCTTTGAATGTTTAGTTAAAGCTAAGGATCCATTCCTGAAGGCTGCTAGTGCCATTGTTTAATAACGATTAGCAAGGTCTCTAGAACAGTTGGGTTTATCAGAACCTTTGGTAGCAGGACTCTATCTCCATGGCTGTAGGGCAGAGGTGGACACCCAGTTGGCTGCATGCACCCTCCACTTCTGTCAGTGCAGTCCCCCAAACTGCCTATACCTTCCTGATCCTGCCAAAGAGAAACACCACCACCAGAGACAGGGTGGGGTGGGGAATCAGCCATATATCTCATCTACCTGGTGACTGCAGTGGCTTTTGTTTCCTGCTTGTTCATCACTTTCCTTGTGTTAGTGGTCATCAGGTTGCACAGATGGAGAAAACTGCAGCTGTTTGAGTCAAGGAGTGTGAATTTCAGTGGTGCTCCTGTCACACAGTTTGTGGCTATTTACTCTTATTGTGATGATCTTTCTCTTACCACTGACTTTAGGAAAAACCAGTTTAACACTTCCAAGGCAAATTATTTCCATACTGTGACCAATGATCAGGCCTAGGAGGTAAAGGATCCTATTTTTGCTAATGGGGATTTAGATTGGAACAATGGAAATGAAATCAGAGACCAGGTGTGCTAACTTTTTCTTCTAATTGGAAATGTAGTTACAAATCTTGACAGATAAATTTCCCATTTATCTCTTTTCTTGACCCTTTTCAAAGCAATGAGACATATTGGTAATTATTTTATTTCACTTATAGCTAGTATCTTATTTTACTAGTGGGGAAATCTTTATTGGTTTCAATCTGTGTTTTCTTAAACTACTGGGGCTTACATGACAGTAAGGATTTTATATTTGAAATTTATTGTGGTTTGGCTCTGTGCAGGATATTTGAACAAACTACCTACACGAACCAGCCTGCCCACTGTATTTATTTCTCATCATAGGCCTTGCTCTGTGTTCTGTCGGGTTGCCATATGTCTAGAATTTCCCAGAATATCCAGAATTTGTCAGCATCATATGGGCAGAAACCAGAAAAATGTTAGGGAAAATCTGGGCGTATGGCAGCCCATGTTGGCAGTTGCGATCTTGCCCAATAACTTTTCTGTCCGGGTTTTCACTGTTTGAAACATGGCAACTGAAGGTCTGATTGCCTGAGACACAAGCCAGAAGGCACATTGGGTGAGTGGCAAGGAGGGAAAAAGAGGGGGAAAGAAGGTAGCAGAAAGAGGGGGGAAAGGGGTGGCCTCTTTTTTTGTCTTGGCCCCTCCCCCCAACTGTGCCCACATTTGGCTTCAGCCCTGTCCACCACTGGCTTTTGTCTTGCCCAGCATCTGCATACGGCCCCTGGCAGATTACCTCTGGCCCTCTGTTCTGTTCTGTTGTGCAATGCCTCCCCCCTGGGAAGTCTGATTGCCCCCCTCATTAAATGACAGGCTGTGAATACCTCTATGTTCAATTACACTGTCAATTACTTCTTCCACCTCCCTGTTGGTTGGTTGGTTGGTTGATTGATTCATTGTTTTCATTCAAGTTGTGATTTGCTTTGAAAGCCCCTGGACTAAAAGCTGAGATGAACCTATTTCGAACAAATAAATACATTTTCCTGTGGTAACATGATCTTCTGGTTCTCTTTGCCGACCACTATTCTTAAATAGGTGCAACTTGTGCCTAGTTATGTGCAAGTAATAATTTCTCACAGTAGCATAAAGTACCTCTAAGCCTGGAAGGAAAGGGGGTGTTGCTATATGCACTTTGAATGCTGATGGGAATTGCATGCTGAAATAGCTGCCCTATCCTGCCTGCATTACAGTTCCCAATCCCAAACCAGGAGCCATGTGCTGGAACAGGCCCTCCAAATGTTTTAGGACTACAATTCCCATCATCCCTGACCACTGGTCCTGCTAGCTAAGGATGATGGGAGTTGTAGTCCCAAAACATCTGGAGGGCCGAGTTTGCGGATGCCTGTGCTAGAAGGAGGCATCCATCCTCTAATCTACCTTGCTGGACTGGGTCATTAGTCAAATATAGATTCATTTTGCTATGTGTATGCATTGTGTTTTAGTCTATGCATTTGGCTAATCTTTCTTCACTGAACAATGGTGTTACTATTCACTGATAACTCCACGTTTTCAGGCAATAAGAATTTAACCTATCAAATTAATATCAACAACAAGACCCATAGAATGTTAGAAAATCATTCTGAATCTATGATTGCATTCAAGTCAAGAGTGGATACAAGCAGTTCTGGATATATCTTAGATCCCCTAAAGAAAGTTTCTCATCACTCAAATCCTCTCTGCTGAATGGCTCTGCACTGATACAATAATGGCAGAAAAGAAAGTTCTCAGTTCAAAACTACTACTGTTACTACTACTACTACTACTACGATTAATTATTACATTTCAGTTTACAGTCTGACAAACTGAAATTCTGACAGAGTAGTGCACACTTTGAATGCACTTGTGTAGAAGCTTTTTCTTCATGTCATTAATTACTGATTAATTACAGTAAACTTCCACATGTGCCAAAGCAATCCAAAAACGCAATACATCTAACAAAACTTTTGTCTCATTGACTTCAATGGAGTTTATACCCAGGTAAGTTGGTACAGGATTGCAATGTAAAAACTGTAATAAAATTTTACTACAAAGGTTGAATAGAATTAAGTACCAATACTATGAAAACAGAAACGAAAAACCAATTATTCAAAAGGATCATATGGGTCTTCTTGGGAAATACCATTGAAAAGCATCCAAAAAAGTCAAAGGGAGAATATTGAATAATTCACCACCTAAGGAATTAGGAATCATCACACAGAATCGTAAGGAAAGATGTATCACCCAAAACTTCCTCTAGTGCAGCAGTGGCCAGCCAGATGCCACAGGGAAGATTACAAACAGATGCGAAAAATGTCAAATGAATATACATAAGACTAAAGAATGAAAGAGTTATCCTGTGCTAAAGTGAATTTAAATTTCTTTTTCAGCATTTTATTATGGCCAATAGAACAGAAATAAAGCACACAATGCACCAAAATCTTAAAGACAGAATAAAATACAAAATTTAAATTTGCTAAACAAGTTCATAATTAAATAAAGGCCAAATCACCAGAATTCTGGCAGGGATAGGGTTGCCAGGGCATCCCACAATTGTTTTTAGGAAAACCTGAAAGTTGTTGAGCTTTTTCTAGACAAAACCCCCCCTAAAACCATGATTTTGCGATTAACTTGAATAAGAACGAGGACGAAGCGTCAACTCTTGGAAATTCCCCCAAGATGTCAATTCCGCCTTTGAAATCCTAGTAACGTCCAGGGAAATCCGAACGTATGGCAGCCCTAGGCAGGGATGTAGGCTTTCTGAATTATTGCATGGTTTTCTTCTGCTGGCAACTGCTTGTGTTTATGCTCCATCAAAAACACCCTAAAGTGTCATTATCATCTACCAGGAAAAGCAATAAAAATATTAAAATAACAGTTTGTATGCAATGAAAAACAAATCTGAATTAAGCTTAAGTGACTTCTAATCAAGTGATACTAAAGTACATTTGGACAACCAGTGAAAGAATTTTTAGTCATTCACAATTCTCCATAGATATCAGGGGGAAATAGCAATATAGAATTATAAACATGAAAATAAGCAAATACAGTTCCCCATGTGAACTCAGAGTGTCACTGTTGGACAATGTGGGAGCAGCCATGGCTCAGCATTTCCGAGACGCTTAGAGCAATCTCTCTCAACACTTCAGCTGAGCAGAAAGGAAAAGCTTTTATTTTAAAAGCTGCTCAAGAAAGGAAAGCTGTCAGTTTCCCAAGGATCAGCTGAAAAGAAGAATATTTCTATTATCTCAAATAAGTGTACTGGGAGTCTTGAAAACTGTACTGAAATCAGGAAGAAATCAGGAAAGGCAATGGATGTGATGGAAGTAAAGCAGGCAGAGAGAACAAGGAAGATCACCAAGAGGCAAGTACTGTTTCTGTTCATATTCTGGTCTGTGTTCTGCTGCCAGGTGGTGTCTGAGCAGGTTCGGTATTCGGTTTCAGAGGAAGCAGAGCAGGACTCCTTTGTGGGGAACCTTGCTAAAGATCTGGGGTTGGATGTCAGAGAGCTTTCAAAGCGCAAGCTTGGTATTTCTTCAGAAAAGAAATTCTTTGATCTGAATGAACAAAATGGCAACCTGTATGTGAATGAGAGGATAGACCGGGAAGAGATTTGTGGGGAATCATCCACTTGTGTCCTTGAACTGGAAGTTGTGGCACACAATCCTTTGAATATTTTCCACATAAATATTTTTATCCAGGACATTAATGACAATGCCCCACATTTCCGGAATGAAAATATTGAGCTTAAATTTAGTGAATCTACTCTGCCGGGAACTCGATTTGCTCTTGGAAATGCTGAAGATGATGATATCGGAATAAACTCCCTCCAGAATTATCAGTTGAGCTCAACTCCATATTTCAAACTAGAAATTCAAAACAGCAATGATGGCGGAAAATATGCAGAATTAATATTGCAGAAACAACTGGACAGGGAAAAGGAACAGATGCACCACATGGTCCTTACAGCCATGGATGGCGGAGAACCTCCAAAAACCGGAACAGCCAAAATATTGGTAACAGTTATTGATATTAATGACAATGCTCCTGTTTTCACCCAGACAACATATAAAGTGAGCCTGAAGGAGAGTGCACCCAAAGGAACCTCTGTGCTTCAAGTCAAAGCATCTGACAGTGATGAAGGGTCAAATGCTGAGATCACTTACACTTTCAGTGACATCCCAAAAACAGCTGAGCAGAAGTTTCATCTGGATCCCAGAGATGGAACAATTACACTCATAGAAAGTGTTGATTTTGAGGATAGACAAAAATATGTGATGATAATTCAGGCAAGTGATGGAGGAGGCTTGGCAGCACATTGCAATGTGGAGATTGAGGTTCTTGATGAGAATGACAATGCTCCAGATGTGATCCTTACATCCGTGTCCAGCCCAGTTCCGGAAGATGTCACATCTGGAGCTGTGATTGCTCTCATTAAAGTTCAGGACAGGGATTCTGGGGAGAATGGAGAAGTCACCTGTCACCTGAAGGAACTTGTACCTTTCCTGATAGTCTCATCTTCGAGTAATTACTTCAAGCTCCTCATAGATGGTGCCCTTGACAGAGAAAGGACTCCAGAGTATAATATTACAATCATAGCCACAGACAAAGGCACACCTCCACTCTCCACACACAAATCCATATCAATACAGATTTCAGATATCAATGATAACCCACCAGCCTTTGACAAATCTTCCTACACTGCCTATGTTCCAGAGAACAACCCATCTGGAGCTTCAATTTTCCACATCAAGGCCTCTGACCCAGATCTGGATCGCAATGCCAGAATCACTTACTCCATCCTTCACAGCAACATCAAGGACCTGCCTCTTTCCTCCTATGTCTCCATTAACTCTGAGACTGGAATCATCTACGCCCAACGCTCCTTTGACTATGAGCTATTCAGGGAGTTTAAGATTCAAGTGAAGGCCCAAGATGGAGGTTCTCCACCACTCAATAGCAGTGCCACAGTGACAGTATGTGTTTTGGATCGAAATGATAACGCTCCGCAGATCCTGTACCCCTCACAATCAACCGAGGGCTCCCCTTTCTTTGAGATGGTGCCTCGGTCAGCTGAGTCAGGTTATCTGGTGACGAAGGTGGTGGCCGTGGACTCTGATTCGGGACACAATGCCTGGCTCTCCTTCCATCTCCTGCAGGCCACAGAGCCCTCACTCTTCAGCATTGGCTCCCACACAGGAGAGGTGCAAACAGTCCGAGCATTACTTGAGAGAGATGCAGTGAAGCAGAGGCTGGTCATCCTGGTGAAGGACAATGGGCATCCTCCTCTCTCAGCCACCACAACTTTGAGCCTGGTGTTTGCTGAGAACTTCCAGGAGGCTCTTCCAGAAATGAACTCCCAACCAAATGACTCAGAGTATCAGTCTGATCTACAGTTTTATTTGGTATTGGCCTTGACCTTGGTGTCCTTTCTGTTCCTGGTGACGGTGATTCTGACCATTCTGATGAAGCTTCGAAGGTCAAGGAACCCCACTTTCCTTCAGTGCTTTATTCCTGACCCCCATTCAAAGGCTGGTGCCATATTCCCACCCAATTATGAGGACGGAACTTTGCCTTATTCCTACCAGGTCTGTCTGTCCTCTGAATCCCGGAGAAATGAGTTGACTTTCCTGCAGCCCACTGTCCAAATAGCAGAGAACATCCTTTGCAATGGCAACTCTGACATTTCTTTGATGGTCAGTGGAGGCAATTTAATTTCTGAAAAGGAAAATGACAGCACGGTGAGTTATATTTCATGTTCCTTATAGGGAATTTGGTGTTATCACTTGTTTGAGAGTTTAATTGTAAACAGTGGATGTTATCAAACTGGCATCCCTGAGAATTCAGACCATGTCATCAGGGAAGTAGGTAGGGAGTAGTATTGAGCTGCTACTGCTGTAGAGCAAGCTAATTGGACTTTCCAGCAGCTATTGAGGGGCAGCATAGCAGGATGGCGGAGGCTCTGTCAGAATTGTCCAGGTACACATCTGCATGGTAACTCGGTGTCGTGCTAAGATTACAGTGTGGTGCAGCATGGCTGAGTGGAGAGAATGATGTTTTCTTCTTCTTCTTATCTTTGCAGTACAAATGCAATTGAATATGTAGCTATTTTCACATTCTGTCCTTTAAGAAATTTACAAGAAGAAATACCAAAAAGTCTTTCATAGAATATTCTTTAAATAAGTTGGTAAATTTCTTAGTAATTGGTAAAGTTTTTCAACTGAATTTTAGGAAGTGTTTGCGGAGCTTTATATGGGTTGGATTATTTAATGAGAGTAAAGGATTAATTAATCACTAAACTTGATTTGGTTCTCATATATACAAATAATCTTACATAGCATTTGGATACTGTGTTCCTGTCACAGACAGAGCTTGGGATTTGGGTCTGATGAGAATAGCACAACCTATTACGTGGTGGAGCACTGATTGTATCAGTAGTACAAGCATTTCTTAGGTCCTGTGACTGCATGCTGTTTGTAGAATCAAAAATGCTCATGTACAACCTGTGTAGAAGAGTGGCGGCATCAAAAGGGAGTTTCTCTTGGCATGATTTCTAGAGATGTTGTATACCACTCTTTGTGTGTGTGGGGGGGGACTATAGAATTATTTTACTTAAATAAATAATATGCACATATCCCACCCCCCTCTTCCAAGGTATGTATATACTGGAAATGGTCCCTGGATTGACAAATACCCTAAACCAAACATGACTGTATCATGAACCCAAAAGTATCCCCTGCCCCCGCACCGGCCCCAGCCCTGGCCAGGTCCTGTATTCTCATATACTACTGATGTCCAGTGTGGATGCAATCCCAAAGTATTGGCATTCCTTTCATTGCTTTTGCATTATATTGTTAGAGATTATGATAAGTTGTAACAGTTATAGTGAACACTTTGTATGTAAGGATATGTGTATGTGGAGCGTGTGGTTAGTATTTCTACTTATACCATCTCTAGTCATGCTTCCATACTGTAGAAATATAGGTGACAAATGACTATTGAGTGACAGCTACCAATGGTAGATGCCCTTTTAACTCTTTGGCATGGAATGTTTTCTTATGGAGAGTCAATCTGGCCAGGACATACATCTGCACATCCTGTAATTGCTGTACTTTAAAGCTGGGTCATGTTCACCACCAGTGTATATTCCATTAGGAAAGATGAAGACTAATGTTAAAAGAACATTTGTTGGCATTATCTAGTGGATAATTCAGTGTCTTGTCCCTCCTGCTAATGGCCAAATTCAGTTTTAGCAGTTTAATCTTGTAGAACAAGAAGCACAACATCAAGCTCTCCAAAGAAGATGGCCGAAACCCACCTACCTCTGCTGTTTAACAAGCCCTCACATGCTAGTTTTTAATAAAGCTCTCTTCTGAGTTTGACATCCAGTTTTCACATGTGTGCTTCTAAGCTACCATTGTTATCCATCCACAGTAGTGGTGTTTGTGATAAGCTGGAGCTGTGGATGAGGCAGCAGTGTGGCTGGGTCTGTATGCTTCTGTCAGCAACCAATCTGGCATTCCTGCTGGTGCACCTGCATGGCCCTAACCTTTCCGTGACTGAAGCCCAGCCCTTTCCAGATAAGCAGTGGCAATAAATTACAGAGAATGTGGCCATTTAACTTCTTTGCTCTGTGCAGTAATACCTAGTGTTAAGAATGTTCAAGGCGCTTCACATATAGTGCTGTGTAACTCTTACAATAAACCAGAAAAGTAGATCAATGTTATGATACTGGGGTAGGGGGAGAGGCTGCATTCAAATTTGTGGGGAATATTGCATTAGTTATTTTTCCTGCGTTTAATGGCAGCATTTCTGTCCTGTTCTTTTCACTGTGGTACCTGCTGTGCTAAGGAACTGTGGTTTTTGACTGATATACCAGCAAGTTGTGCTGAATTTCATGCACACCAGCATATTTGGTGTCACACAACAATGAATGTCATGGGCTAATGCCGCAACTCTGTCAGCCTTTCTGCACGTGGATGCCTCTGTTTCCCCATGAAAACAGCAGAAAAGAACTGTGTGCCAGTATATCAGTTTCCTCACTTTACAACTACAAACATTACACTGACACAAAGAAAATAGGAAGTACCAGAGGCTTACTATTCTTTTTTCTGCATCCAAAATGAATCTTTTGAATATCCAGCAAACAACATTGCTGAGAAAGTTCAATATTTCAGAATTCAATTCATTCCAGAATTTCCAGTAATGGGGTAGGGCAGGAACCCTAAGCACACTTGTCTTTCCTGCTCCTTTTCAGTTTGTTTACTACAACAAAAAATGTCACTCTTTTTTATCCTTAGCAGTTAAATTCGAAGAAAAAAATATATAGAAAAATATACATAGTTATCCTAGCTATATCTTCATTTATAATATTTATAATATTATAATATAATAGTACAGTGAAATGGTGTTTATTTAATTTTCAAAAGTGAAGTTTTTGCAGTTTGGGCTTGATCCTCTGGGTGTCACTGTTCACCAGAACGGAGCAGAAATGTGAAATCCTGCTCAATTGAAGTTGCCTTTCCGTTAAACACAAACACAAAATATCTGAAGGAACAAGCTGCTTGTCAGTGTAAAGAAGAAACGGAAGTGCATTTTTCTTTAAAAAATTGGATACAGCATCATTTGAACCAGAATCTAAAGGTCTTTAACCTGCTGCAAGGATGGAAGGAACTCAGAGGCTGTGGAATTGCAGAAAGGGAATCTTCCAGTGCCTTTTCATGATGTTTTCTTGGAAGGCAGTTTCTGGGCAGATCCACTACTCCATTCCAGAAGAGATGCACAAAGGCTCTTCCGTGGGGAATGTTGCAAAGGACCTGGGAATGGATGGCAAGCAGCTCCCAAACCATGGACTGCGCATTGTTTACCCTGTAGGTATGATTCAGTACTTTTCTTTGAATGCCAACAATGGCCATTTGCAGATATCTGAGAGAATAGATAGAGAGGAAATCTGCAGAGAGGCAGAGAAATGTATGTTAAAGTTTCAGGTTCTTGTTGAAAGCAAACTGAAGCTTTATGGAATTGAAGTGGAAATTACGGATATAAATGATAATGCTCCCCACTTCCCTCTATGGGAACAGGAGCTGGAAATCAGTGAGGCATCTATACCTGGATTCCAGGTTCCTCTTCCTGAAGCTCAAGATCCAGATTGGGGGATAAATTCAGTGCAGAGCTATCAACTCACAGGCAGTACCCATTTTGCTTTGCATGTGCAAACAGAAGAAAATGGTGTCAGACCTGTTGAACTTGTGTTGGAAAAATCATTGGACAGAGAGGAACAATCAGCTTACGATTTGCTCCTCACAGCTACTGATGGAGGTGATCCCATCAGATCTGGCACATTACAAATCCACATCGACGTCCTTGATGCAAATGACAATGCACCAGTTTTCAGCCAACCTCTCTATGAAGTGAGTGTGAATGAGAATATTCCCAAGTGGTCCACACTTTTGACAGTGAGAGCAACTGATATGGATGAAGGAATCAATGGAGACATTAGATACTCTTTCCAAAAAATCACAAAGAGAGATTCCCAAATGTTTGTCTTAAATTCCACAACAGGTGAAATCATCCTTATTGGGAATCTTGATTATGAGGAATCATCTTTATATGCATTTGAGATACAAGCCAAAGATGGAGGAGGCCTGAGTGACAGATCAAAAGTTGTGATATCTGTTACAGATCTGAATGACAATGCACCTCAATTATCAGTTAACTTTGCCACCAACACCATACTTGAAAGTTCACCATCCCAAACGGTAATTGCCATTTTAAATGTCCAAGACCGAGATTCAGGAATCAATGGGGAAATCACATGTTCAATCCCTAGCAACCTCCCTTTCCAGCTAAAGAAGTCCATGGATAACTTTTACAGTTTGGTGACTGATGGTGCCCTTGACAGGGAACAGGTGTCAGTCTTCAATATTACTGTCACTGTTACTGACCATGGAGTCCCCCCTCTTTCTGCAGTCACAGTTATCACACTTCATGTTTTAGACACAAATGACAACCCACCCCTCTTTGAAAAAACAGACTATACTTTCTATTTTGTTGAGAATAACCAAAGAGGAGCCATGGTCTCTTCTATAAGAGCAAATGATCTTGACTGGGAAGAAAATGCCAGAATAACATATTCCATCACTGATGACCAAAGAAGTGACTCCCGCCTCTCCTCCTACCTCTCTATTAACTCTGAGACGGGGGTTATATATGCTCTAACCTCCTTTGATTATGAAGACTTTCAAGACATTCGGTTCCATGTAAAGGCTCAGGATGGAGGTTCTCCACCACTCAGCTCCAATGTCTCAGTGACTCTCTTCATCCTGGACCAGAATGACAACGCTCCCCAAATCCTGTACCCCTCCCCTCCCACTGATGGTTCCACAGGGATAGAGCTGGCCCCTCGCTCCTCTGAGCCAGGCTACCTGGTCACTAAGGTGGTGGCCGTGGATGCGGACTCTGGCCAGAATGCCTGGCTCTCCTACCAGCTTATCAAGGCCACTGAGCCAGGGCTCTTCACTCTGGGGCTCCACACGGGAGAGATCAGGACGGCCCGCTTCTTTCTGGAGAAAGATGCCCTCAAGCAAAGCCTGGTGGTTTTAGTCAAGGACAATGGGCAGCCACCTCTCTCTGCTTCAGCCACTCTGACTGTGGTGCTGGCTGACACCATCCCTGCAGTCCTCTCAGACCTGAGCAGCATCTCAGCTCCTGTAGATCCTCCGTCTGACCTCACCTTCTACCTGGTCCTTGCAGTGGCTTTTGTCTCCTGCTTGTTCCTCATCTTCCTCCTTGTGTTACTGGCCATCAAGCTGCACAGGTGGAGAAATTCTCAGCTGCTTGAGTCAGGGAGTGTGAATTTCAGTGGCGCTCCTATCTCACAGTTTGTGGGGATCGATGGAGTCCGAGCATTTCTGCACTCCTACTGCCATGATGTTTCTCTGACTTCAGGCTCTAAGAAAAGCCAATTTAGTATTTCCAAGGCAAATTATTCCAATACTCTGAACAATCAACAGACTTGTGAGGTAAAGAATCCTATCATATCTGGTGAAGATTTAAATTTTAATGATGGTGATCCAGTCATAGCCCAGGTGAGTTAATCAGGTTATCTTTTGATTTTATATGAACTTACTCATCTTGGTGAATTTTACATCTATCTGCTGATCTGCAATACTATACTGGAGGCTATTATTATAGATAGCACTTTGTTTGATATTTATTAGTAACACCACAGTTGTTTTTTCAGTATTTGTGTTTCACACAAATTATTTTACTCAATTACATTTCTTATCTTTACTGTTATATTGCCCAGTAGTAAAATGACTCTCTGATCCTCATTGCCAAGTATATATTATGGTATGTAAAAATATAATTGATGCTATGCAGCTTTTTAATGAACATCAATATTATGGGCACCATCCATAGGAGAGATAAGCACATGCTTAAGTTCCTTCTCCAGAAATCACTGGGTCTCAGAAATGCTTTTCTTTGGCCGAAATGTACCATATAGTTGTAGGGTATTTTGGAATAACGTGTGCATAGTAAGAATAATCATGAGTTATACTTATACACTTGTTTGACTGATATTCTAGCATCTGTTGAATCGAGAAAAATGAATATAACATGCTAACTGAATATTAATTAAGATAGATTATTTAGCGCATTTGTGCAATTAGTTTTAGGCTGAATCTTCTGGCTTTTCCATTAGTAAATGTCATGTGGATTCTCATGTTCTCTGCCGGGATGGGTAGGGCAGAAGGAAAATCAAAGATGTAAACTGGCAGAAGAAAACACTCCCATATGCAAGGATTAAAGCGAATCTTCCATATGATGGACCTCTACCACTTTCCAAACCTCTAAAAGGAATTAGATCAAAGACAGGGAGGTAGGTGTGTGGATAGGGAAGACTTTCACATATGACTAGGCAGAGACAGAGCTGTTTCTTGTAATGGCTTTGAAAGGCCAAGCACCAGGGCCGGCCCAGCCACGAGGGAAGGTGTGGTGACCACCTTAGGCGGCAGAGTCCTCCAGGGCAGCAGATCCTGATGTCAGTTCCTGACGTAGATCTTCACTCACCCCATCTTCCCTGGTGGGGAGGGGGTGCCATTCTGGGGTCTGTCTCAGGTGCCAAAACGTACTGGGCCGGCCTTGCCAAGTACTGCTTGGCTTTTTGCTACATACAAAACTATTCCTGGAGAAAATATACCAGAACTTTCCTGTCACTAAATATGGTAATTAATTCTCTTCTGACAGATAAACCATAATCTCTGCTGTGGAGCCTCTTCTAGAGAATGCTTATTCACTCTTTTTGATCTCCTGTGTGCATCTGTGGCAGCCTTTATGTTTTAGAAGTGCTGGCAGCGCTCCTCCCCCATTCTTCTGAGGAAAATATTATCTTTCCTGAATACTTTTTCTACTGCCCTCACAATTAAGCAAACACCTTCAATCCCTTACTAGTCCTCATATTAAACCTTGCTAAAAAATAAATAAAAATCCAGTATATATGCAATGCTAGAGCGCACAGTCCTGATTATATGATTTTAAAAAAGTTCTTAAATGCCATGAATATGAGCTGTTTGTTCCTAGAAACTGGGATGCGTCGTTCCTGTGGTGGGTTTGTCTGAGATGAAGTAATCCCTAGAAGTTATTTTCTCTAGATATTACTACACAGTAAATGTGGATGGATGTTAAAAACTCACCCAAAGGCAAATGTGAACACTTTGCAAAGAGGCTAAAGACCTGCCAATCATTAAGAATTCACTGTATAGTTAACTTACAGTATAATGGTATACATACCTACTCAGATGTGCTTAATGGATACAGGATGGCAGACGAGGCTTTGGTTTAGGGTTGGCATTAGGGAAAAACAGGGTTCTTGTGCCTTTAACAGATGTATGACAGACAGAAATTCAAGAGGTTGAGCCTTTCCTAGTATGGAAATACAATTACGGGAAAAGTTTCACCATGACTGTGCTCACTCTAATTTTGTGGTATGCCATGCTCCCCACAGCAGCCATTTTGTATTATGCCATGCACCCATGGCAGCCATTTTGTAACATGCACCCACAGCTGTTGGAATAACTCTCTCATAATTAAAAAAAGTGATCACTGGTCCAGTGGTGTAATTGTAAAACAGGCAAACTGTCAGGTTTCTGAGGTAGCAGCAGCTAGAGTGAGGAAAGGTGAAGAGCAGGCCCTCAGCCTGGCAGAACCACCTCCCCCGCTTCCTTGCTGAGGAGAAATGAGCAGGCCTTGGGACTGAGGCTTTATAAAATGATGTGAAGCTGTACTGGTTCCCTGACCACCTGAATTTATATTTTTGCCTAGATGGGGAGACTACCGTACAATACTTCTGGTGGACATGCTGTCATGTGCCTCCCTGCCACAGGGGACCACTATCTGAGATATATTTGGCAGGTATTCATGGAAGGGATGTGAAACTCCCTGCCTTGGAAAGTCCTCTGGGCCTCCTTCCTGATGGCATTTCACTGCCTGCTGCAGGCCTTTTTATTCCAATAGGCATTAATCCTGCCTTGAAGCTGAATATTCTTGACTATATCTCAAATATAGACATTTTTAAAAAAATCCACACTGACTCCATGGCAGGATTGTTGAAGTGACTATTATTTTATCTGCAAAGTCTGAGGTAAATTACCATAGTGTACAGAGTCCAGATTTATTCTTCCAAAAGAACTCTGCCAAATTCTTCTTTACATATTTGGGGGCAAATGACAGAAAAAGAAGACAATTTATTTACTGTTGCTGCAATACTACCACTCCAAATTCTAGGATGGATTGAGGGGAGTATCACATGCTCAAAATAAAGGGAAACAGAGGTATGAGTGACATTTATTCCTTCCTGTATAATACGCAAAGCAGGGCTAGGCACAAGGATCATGGAATGATGGATGATTCTAGCAGGTGAAATTCTTGCATTTTATCATAGTGGAGACACATGTGTTCTCACCATATATTAGAATTATAGAGTTGAAAGTTACCTCAGTAATCATCTAGTCCAACCATCTGCCAATGCAGGAAATTCACCATTGCTGATAGTCTCTGTTTAGAACTTCTAATGAAGAAGAGTACACTACTTATGGATGCAGTCTGATCCACTTTCAAGCAGCTCATGCCTGCAAAAGGTTCTTCCTAATAGTCTAAATACTTTTTCTTGCAATTTGAATTCTTCTTTTGTTTCCCCATTTTGGACACATTCCAGTTTGCCAATATTCTTCTTAAATTGTGGTGCATGGAAATGGGCACAGTACTCTGGGTGAGGTTGTCTGACCAAAGCAGGATATAAATATACCATTACTTTTCATAAACTGGACGCAGTATTTATGTTGATGTGAACTAGAACTGCATTAGCCTTTTTAGCTGTTGCGTCGCACTACTGGCTCATGTTTACCTTGTTATCTGCTAAAACCCTAGAATCTTTTCACATGTACAGCTGTCAAGCCAGGTATCACCCATCCTAGATTTGTGCACCTGATTCTTCCTAACTAATGCAGAGATTTAAATTTATCTCTATTGAAAATTGTTTTGTTAAAAACGTCCCCTTTCTGCATCCAGTCATGATCCAAGTATTATTAGCTATTATTAGGCATGAGGGAGCTGCTTTCTATGAGTAGACCCTATGCAGTTGGGATCTAAGTGAGAAGCCATGTAGGTTGAGTTTATGCAAGAGGAGTGTGTTCAGTTTATGTGGGTGGGACCTGCGTGATCAGCTCACTCATTACGCCCCAGCTGCATAGAGACTGTTTGGAGGAAAGCAGCTCCCAAGCAAGAGGCATGCTATTTAGAAGACTTCTGAGTCACTCGTTTTTCTTGTGCTTCGCCAGCTTTCACCACAACTCAAACAGCATCCAGCTAGGCTTCTGTTTCTGATGTTTCAGGTCCCCACTTCAGCAGGAAGTAGAAGAGACACTGGTGTTTATTATCTTACCTTCTACATGGTGCCTACTTAAAAGCATACCTCATGAGAGGCCATCTGAATACCTGCAGCCTCCAACTACACAGTAAAGTTACCACATTTCTAGATATGGGTGCTTATGGAATCACGGGTGGGATTTCAGATACTTGTAGTCACACCTCCCAGTGGCCATGATGTGGGGTATGTTCACTTGAGAATATTGTTGGTTAGCTATAAATCAAAGAAGTGACTGAGTTGATGGCCAAAGTCAAATTGAGTTGACTTCAGAGAACAACCAAGCCTCCAAAAGGAGAGCTGTCATTGATAAAGTCATAAGAGGATAATGGAATACAGCAGCAAACTGGAAGTATCTGGGATAGATTATTGAAATTGTTTTCCCCACAATGGAGACTTAAAAGATTCAAATCTGCTACCTCAGAATGTAATGGTGTGAAAACAAAAGTGCCTTCTTGATTCCCTCAATACATCTCTTGTTTCAAAACACCAGTTTCAGATTCTTATGGTACTAGAATGAATAGCTATCCTCATGATGGGCAGGGTGCAAGTCTTAGTTACTGGACATTTTAGTTCCATTAATGTTGTTCTGATTATTGGCTTTCACTGAAAAGGCTCTGTAGTTCTACTTACTGGATTTAATGGAAACTTCTCATCTCAAAGTTAGTCAGCCTAAGAGCCTGAGGAACTATCAAATGGGAACTGAAGAAAGAGAAGCTGGACACGTGGGATTACTGAAGGAGGGAAAGATGGAGAGGAAAGAGGATGCATGATTATTTTTCAAGCACAGCCCCGTGGAAGATGACTTTCCATGATGCAATCCCCTGCATCTAAGAGCTGCCTGTGACAGACAAAACCACGTGGACAGGGAAGATCGCGAACTTTGCACACACAATATGCAAATCTGGTTCTGTCATTCATAGGCAGCCCCCAAGAAAGTCACATCATAGGAAAAAAAATCCCACAAATGTAACTGCATGTGAAGGTCAAATAAAGAATTAACTCTGAGAAGGAAATGGGAGAAGGAGGGAAGAAAGCTGCACATGATAGATCAGCATACATAGATGAGCAGGACTGAATTGCACATATCATAGTATAATCACCTGCCAGATCCTTGGTTATACAGTGGTACCTCAAGTTACAAACGCCTCAGGTTACAAATGCTTCAGGTTACAAACTTCACTAAGAGTTACCTCGAGTTGAGAACGTGGCCCCAGGATGAGAACGGAAATCATGTGCCGGCAGCAAGAGGCCCCATTAGCGAAAGCAGGCCTCTAGTTAAGAACAGTTTCAGGTTAAAAACGGACCTCTGGAATGAATTAAGTTCGTAACTAGAGGTACCACTGTATGCTTATAATATTCAATATTCAGGTACAACTAAGACTGGGAGTAAACATGAGAACACCTGAGAAAAAAATACCTGTTGTGATTTTTTTTTAAGGACAAAACTGGTTTATATGAACTATATATCTATTAATGTATTGAACAAAAAGATCAGTCAACTGAAATTTCCTGATAATACCATAAAGAATAGAAGGAGTTATGGAAGAAAATGTATATTTAGGATTCCAAAATAAGGCTTCTGCAGTTTTGTATTGAGCCTCATGGTGTCGCTGTTCACCAATAAGGAAAAAAAGTAAAAGATCCAGCCTCACAACCTTAGCTATTACAGTGCAGCACACAATAACTGAGGAGAGGCTGAACATGACAGTACAGAAAGCAAAACTGAAGTAAGTTTTGCTTAAAAACAATTTGGCTATTTTGAACTGGATCTAGGAGCAGAACAAAGGGAACACCAGAAACCAATCATTAGAGCTTTTGAACAGAACCAGCATTTTTTCTCCTGGTACAAAATCATGGAAGAAACCCACAGACTCGGGAGTTGCAAAAAAGGAATCCTTCAATGCCTTGTCATGGTGACAATCTGGAAGCTAATTTCTGGGCAGATCCGCTATTCCATTCCTGAGGAGATGCAGAAAGGCTCTTTTGTGGGGAATGTTGCAAAGGACCTGGGAATGGATGGGAAGCCGCTTTCAGACCATGGACTCCGCATTGTTTCCAGTGTAGGTATGGTTCAGTATTTTGCTTTGAATGTCAACAATGGCCATTTACAGATTTCTGAGAGAATAGATAGAGAGGAAATCTGTGGAGAGGCAGACAAATGCATATTGAAGTTGCAGGTTTTTATTGAAAGTAAATTAAAACTTTATGGAATTGAAGTGGAAATTACAGATATAAATGACAATGCACCCTGGTTTCTACCAAAGGAATGGAAAATGAAAATCAGTGAGACATCAACACTCAGAGACAGGTTTCTTCTACCCAAAGCTCAGGATCCAGATCTAGGGATAAATTCTATACAAGATTATCAACTTGCAGGCAGTCGCCATTTTTCTCTGCATGTGCAGACAGGAGAAAATGGGGCAAGACATGCTGAGCTGGTGCTGGAGAAACTTCTGGACAGGGAAGAGCAGCCAGATTATGATCTAATCTTCACAGCTACTGATGGGGGTGATCCAGTGAGATCTGGTACTGCTCAAATTCATGTGATTGTTCTAGATGCAAATGACAATGCACCGGTTTTCACACAACAGATCTTTGAAGCAACCATAAAGGAAAACATTCCTAAAGGGTTTATAGTTTGCACAGTGAGAGCCACCGATATAGATGAAGGAATCAATGGAGAGGTAAAATACTCCTTTGGGAAAAACACAGAGAAGATTTCTAAAACGTTTCGATTGAATTCAACAACGGGAGACATTACCCTTGCAGGAAGCCTTGACTTTGAAATATCATCCTTATATGAATTTGAGGTGCAAGCCATTGATGGTGGAGGTCTAAGTAACAGATCAAAGGTTGTGATATTTGTAAGAGACTTAAATGACAATGCACCTGAAATAGCAATAACCTTTGTACTCAACTCTGTGTCTGAGAACACACCAACTGGAACTGTCATTGCCATTTTAAATGTCCAAGACAGAGATTCAGGAGTCAATGGGGAGGTTATGTGCTCAATTCCCAATAGCCTTCCTTTCCAACTAAAGAAAACAATGGACAACTTTTACACTTTAGTGACAGACAGAGCCCTTGACAGGGAACAAGTGGCGACCTATGATATCCCTATTACAGCAACTGATAATGGGACTCCAACATTATCAACCTCTGCAATTATTTCACTGCAGCTGTTAGACACAAATGACAACCCCCCATTCTTTTTACAGTCAGCCTACACCTCTTATCTTCTAGAAAATAATCCAAGAGGAGCCTCAGTCTTTTCCCTGAAAGCAAGTGATCCAGACTGGGAAGAAAATGCCAGAATAACATATTCCATCACTGATGACCAAGGAAGTGACTCCCGCCTCTCCTCCTACCTCTCCATTAACTCTGAGACGGGGGTTATATATGCTCTGACCTCCTTTGATTATGAAGAGTTTCGAGACATTCGGTTCCGTGTAAAGGCTCAGGATGGAGGTTCTCCACCACTCAGCTCCAACGTCTCAGTGACGCTCTTCATCCTGGACCAGAATGACAACGCTCCCCAAATCCTGTACCCCTCCCCTCCCACTGACGGCTCCACGGGGATAGAGCTGGCCCCTCGCTCCTCAGAGCCAGGCTACCTGGTCACTAAGGTGGTGGCCGTGGATGCAGACTCTGGCCAGAATGCCTGGCTCTCCTACCAGCTGATCAAGGCCACTGAGCCAGGGCTCTTCACTCTGGGGCTCCACACAGGAGAGATCAGGACGGCCCGCTTCTTTCTGGAGAAAGATGCCCTCAAGCAAAGCCTGGTGGTTTTAGTGAAGGACAATGGGCAGCCACCTCTCTCTGCTTCAGCCACTCTGACTGTGGTGCTGGCTGATGCCATCCCTGCAATCCTCTCAGACCTTAGCAGCATCTCAGCTCCTGTAGATCCTCCGTCTGACCTCACCTTCTACCTGGTCCTTGCAGTGGCTTTTGTCTCCTGCTTGTTCTTCACTTTCCTCCTTGTGTTACTGGCTGTCAGGTTGCACAAGTGGAGAAATTCTCAGCTGTTTGAGTCAGGGAGTGTGAATTTCAGTGGCGCTCCTATCTCACAGTTTGTGGGGATTGACGGAGTCCGAGCATTTCTGCACTCCTACTGCCAGGAGGTTTCTCTCACTACAGACTCTAGAAAGGCAAATTATTCCAATACTCTGAACAATAAAGAGGCTTGTGAGGCAAAGGATCCAATCCTACCTGGTGAAGATTTAAACTTGAACAGTGAAGGCTTAATTGTACTCCAGGTGAGCAAACAATTTTAGATTAACATGATTTTTTTGTTTTGTTTTATTAATATCAGAATATATTTCCCATTTGCCTCTGGTTTCTCATTATATTCAGAACTATGTCAGTCTTCTTTTTATTCCGTTCAGCTCTTCCTTCTTTTAGTCATCACTGGGTATGTGATCTTTCTGTGAAGGGACTTCTTTCATCAAATCTTTATCTTGATGCATTAAGTGACCAATCTTTGCCTCATTCGTGCTACTGCTGGTGGGGGCTCATAAAACAGAATGCTCCTCTATAAGAAAACATAGTTCCCTACATATTACAAACAATCATGTCTGGGAGACAGTTATTAGCCTAATTTAATTCCTCTCACCTAGTTTTTATGTGGAAGTGTATTTCCCGACCAGTATTGATCAAGACTTCAGTATGTGGGTTCCTGTTTAATTTATGGATGGATTTGGTGCATTCTTAATTGTTTTAGCTTTGACTATTGTATTTTGTTTTTATCTCATTTCTGCATGATATTTCCAAACTTTGGGATGGATGGATAGACAGCTAGTATATCAATAAATGTGAGCAGCCACCTATCTCGGTACTGGCAAGACATAGGTTTACTAGCTCTGTGAGCACTAGAAACTAGAGGCCTATGACAAGTCAGTGTCCACTCCAGTCATTCAGGCAGACAAGCTCTTAACCTGGAAGCAAACTGATTCATTTTTCTTTTTCTTTCAAGCAGCTTGTACACTACAAATACCTACTGTGGTCTGCATGGACAGATAGGATAGTCAAACATCTAGTCAGCAAGTAACTTTGGTGCACTTGTTTGCATGTCAATGGTACAGTGGTGCCCCGCAAGACGAATGCCTCGCAAGACGGAAAACCCGCTAGACGAAAGGGTTTTCCGTTTTTGAGTTGCTTCGCAGGACGAATTTCCCTATGGGCTTGCTTCACAAGACGAAATGTCTTATGAGTCTTGAGGTTTTTTTCGCTTCCCCTTTATCTAAGCTGCTAAGCCTGTAATAGCCTTTAATAGCCTTTTAGCAGCTAATCCGCTAAGCCTTTAAGCCTTTAATAGCCGCTTATAGCGCTATTCCGCTAAGCCGCTAATAGGGTTGCTTCGCAAGACGAAAAAACCGCTAGACGAAGACTCTCGCGGAACGGATTAATTTCGTCTTGCGAGGCACCACTGTACTTCATAGGGACTTCTCTGATAGTAAGTAACCCCTTTCCACTACACTCCCTCCAGAAAGCTGATATTGATATTCCCATTGTCAAAAGGCTCGTTATGTCATTTTCCAAAAGCAGTTATGGTTTTACTTAGCCTTTTATTGACTGAGATATTATTGATGTTTGTATATTTTAGAATGATAAGATAAGGAGACTTAATTGGGGAGGGGACTCTGGGAATAAAAAAGAAAAAATGCAAGCAGTTGTATGTAAGATGGTTGCATTATGCTCCTTATAACTTGGAACCTTCACCCTGTGTCAGAAAACAACAGCAACACACTAACTTTTTTTGGGGGGGGGGTTCTACCCCAATTAGATTTCCAATATAAGGTGAGGGTAGAATTTTGAATCTCAGAAAATATATGTGTCTGTGGTGTCAGAAGAAGAGTGCTTGACAATGTCCAAAAATCCCAAGCCGGAAAACACTTATTTGTAGGATGTGTTTCTGACCCCATTAAGAAACTCACAAGAAAACTGTCCTTGGTTAGAGAGATGTCCCCAAACAACATTATACGGCTTGTGCCAAGTTATTGACACAGCTGTAAGTGGTAGGGGCTGAACTTTGGAGATATTGTAGGGGTGACCATTTGTGACAATGTCCTGGAAGTCCATTCATTGCAGAATGAAAACTACACTGGAGCGGAGGTGGGGATGCTTTGATTCACACAAAATTGTATGAGAGAAACTGGAAATGATTTATTACTTGGGAACATTGCGGGGGAAATGGTGCTAGAAATAGTTGCTTTACATTATTGTAAATAAAAGTGGTAAAATATTTTGATCACATTGATCACATGCACATTGCTTAGTTTGGTCTTTCAGTATTTTATTCCTTTACAGAAACCTTTTAAACAGAATAATGCAAAAGTATAGAGGTATTAATGCTATGTTTAAACTGGGTGAAAGACAGATAGCAAATAACATACTAATGTATTACATGGTATCTCTTTTATAAAGAGTGCAGCTAGCTTTAGTCCAGGTCCTATGAGAAGATTTTAAATATAGGCTCTCCCATCTTTTTTAATCACTTTAATTCAGCAAGGACCCAGTTTTCTTTGAATTAATTTCAAGTATAAATGGGGTTCATCAGTACTGTTAGCTAAACCTCCCTGCCATTTCTTCCCTTTTTCAAGAAAAAAAAAATCACCTTTGTGTGGGGTGCTGGTAGTAACTGTCAATGGGCAGAGGTAGGAAAGTCCTAACCTTGAACCAGAAATGATGTTCCTAAGTATGCACAGAAGTGGAATTTCCTGCCAGAGAGGATGTAAAGTGTAGTTCCCTCTGCCTCCTGATCCAATAAAGGAGACATTGACAAACCTTGTGTACCCTGACAAGGCATTACACTATTTAAATGATCTAGAAGACCACAATTTCTTTAGAAGCCTCTGGAAACAAAGCCCTCCTCACCAACAGGCATCCCCTCTCTACTATTCCTAAGGTTTTTCTTGTTTTTTTTTTCTTTTTAAAGAAAGAAACTATCAATGATGCTGAATGGTGGGGCACTGGGAAGCGAAGAGGGTGCACACAAGTGATGGAGAAGAAATTTGTTTCTGATTTAATTTAAATGTGAACTTATATTACAAGCAATTCCCTACTTTAGAGATAAAATTCCATGTAGAATTACAGAAATAGCAAAAACAGTTCCCCATGTGGACTCAGAGTGTCACTGTTGGACAACGTGGGAGCAGCCATGGTTCAGCATTTCTGAGACTCTTGGAGTAGTATCTCTCTCTTAACACTTCAGCCAAGCAGAAAGGAAAAGCTTTTATTTTAAAAGCTGCTCAAGAAAGGAAAGCTCTCAGTTTCCCAAAGATCAGCTCAAAAGAACAATATTTCTATTATCTCACATAATAAAGAAGGAGGAAATCATAAACAACAATGGATGTGATGGAAATAAAGCAGGCAGAGAGAAAAAGGAAGATCACCAAGAGGCAAGTACTGTTTCTGTTCATATTCTGGTCTGTGTTCTGCTGCCAGGTAGTGTCTGAGCAGGTTCAGTATTCAGTTCCAGAGGAAGCAGAGCAGGGCTCCTTTGTGGGGAACCTTGCTAAAGATCTGGGGTTGGATGTCAGAGAGCTGTCAAAGCGCAAGCTTGGTATTTCTTCAGAAAAGCAATTCTTTGATTTGAATGAACAAAATGGCAACCTGTATGTGAATGAGAGGATAGACCGGGAAGAGATCTGTGGGGAATCATCCACTTGTGTCCTCGAATTAGAAATTGTGGCACACAATCCTTTGAATATTTTCCACGTAAATATTCTTATCCAGGACATTAATGATAATGCCCCACATTTCCAGAATGAAAATATTGAGCTTAAATTTAGTGAATCTACTCTGCCAGGAACTCGATTTGCTCTTGGAAATGCTGAAGATGATGATATCGGAATGAACTCCCTCCAGAATTATCAGTTGAGCTCAACTCCATATTTCAAACTAGAAATTCAAAACAGCAATGATGGTGGTAAATATGCTGAATTAATTTTGCAGAAACAACTGGACAGGGAAAAGGAACAGGTGCATAACATGGTCCTTACAGCCATGGATGGTGGAGAACCTCCAAAAACCGGAACAGCCAAAATATTGGTAACAGTTATTGATATTAATGACAATGTCCCTGTTTTCACCCAGACAATCTATAAAGTGAGCCTGAAGGAGAGTGCACCCAAAGGAACCTCTGTGCTTCAAGTCAAAGCATCTGACAGTGATGAAGGGTCAAATGCTGAGATCACTTATACTTTCAGTGACATCCCAAAAACAGCCAAACAGAAGTTTCATCTGGATCCCAGAGACGGAACAATCACACTCATAGAAAGTGTTGATTTTGAGGACAGACAAAAATATATGATGAAAATTCAGGCAAGTGATGGCGGAGGATTGGCGGCACATTGCAATGTGGAGATTGAGGTTCTTGATGAGAATGACAATGCTCCAGATGTGATCCTTACATCCATGTCCAGCCCAGTTCCGGAAGATGTCACATCTGGAGCTGTGATTGCTCTCATTAAAGTTCAGGACAGGGATTCTGGGGATAACGGAGAAGTCACCTGTCACCTGAAGGAACTTGTACCTTTCCTGATAGTCTCATCTTCGAGTAATTACTTCAAGCTCCTCATAGATGGTGCCCTTGACAGAGAAAGGACTCCCGAGTATAATATTACAATCACAGCCACAGACAAAGGCACACCTCCACTCTCCACACACAAAACCATATCAATACAGATCTCAGATATCAATGATAACCCACCAGCCTTTGAAAAATCTTCCTACACTGCCTACGTTCCAGAAAACAACCCGTCTGGAGCTTCAATTTTCCATATCAAGGCCTCTGACCCAGATCTGGATCGCAATGCCAGAATCACTTACTCCATCCTTAACAGCAACATCAAGGACCTGCCTCTCTCTTCCTATGTCTCCATTAACTCTGAGACTGGAATCATCTATGCCCAACGCTCCTTTGACTATGAGCAATTCAGGGAGTTTCAGATTCAAGTGAAGGCCCAAGATGGAGGTTCTCCACCACTCAATAGCAGTGCCACAGTGACAGTATGTGTTTTGGATCGAAATGATAACGCTCCGCAGATCCTGTACCCCTCACAATCAACAGAGGGCTCCCCTTTCTTTGAGATGGTGCCTCGGTCAGCTGAGTCGGGTTATCTGGTGACGAAGGTGGTGGCCGTGGACTCTGATTCGGGACACAATGCCTGGCTCTCCTTCCATCTCCTGCAGGCCACAGAGCCCTCACTCTTCAGCATTGGCTCCCACACAGGAGAGGTGCAAACAGTCCGAGCATTACTTGAGAGAGATGCAGTGAAGCAGAGGCTGGTCATCCTGGTGAAGGACAATGGGCACCCTCCTCTCTCAGCCACCACAACTTTGAGCCTGGTGTTTGCTGAGAACTTCCAGGAGGCTCTTCCAGAAATGAACTCCCAACCAAATGACTCAGAGTATCAGTCTGATCTACAGTTTTATTTGGTATTGGCCTTGACCTTGGTGTCCTTCCTGTTCCTGGTGACGGTGATTCTGACCATTCTGATGAAGCTTCGAAGGTCAAGGAACCCTACTTTCCTTCAGTGCTTTATTCCTGACCCCCATTCAAAGGCTGGTGCCATATTCCCACCCAATTATGAGGACGGAACTTTGCCTTATTCCTACCAGGTCTGTCTGTCCTCTGAATCCAGGAGGAATGAGTTGACATTCCTGCAGCCCACTGTCCAAATAGCAGAGAACATCCTTTGCAATGGCAACCCTGACATTTCTTTGATGGTCAGTGGAGGCAATTTAATTTCTGAAAAGGAAAATGACAGCACGGTGAGTTAAAGTGCATTCTTTTTTTCCCTTCCTTTTTTAGGGAATTTGGTGTGTTATCACTTGTTTAAGAGTTTGATTGTAAACAGTGGATTATATCAAACTGGCACCCCATACAATTCAGGCCATGTTACCAGGAAGGTAGGTAGAGAGTAATACTGAGCTGCTACTGTTGCAGATCAAGCTAATGTAATGGGCCTTCTAGCGTTTGTTGAAGGGCAAAATTGCAAGTTGGGGGAGCCTCAGTCAGAATTATCTAAATGCACATTTGCATGCTGACTTAGGGTGAGAATCTCGGACCACAGGATGGCATATCATGTTTGAGTGGAGATGCTTATCCTTCCTTCCTTCCTTCCTTCCTTCCTTCCTTCCTTCTTTCCTTCGTAGTATGACTAAAATTGAATATGTAGCTATTTTAATGTTCTCTCTTTAAGAAGATACAGTATATGCAAGAACAAACACAAAAACATCCTACATAGTATATGCTTCAAGAAGTTTGCAAATTTTTTAGTTATTGGCAAAATTCTCCTTATTATCAAACTAAATATTAGGAAGTTTGTGGGGAGTTTTTTATGTGTTATCAGGAAGGAAATAGTGGATTGAACATCTTTTGTTGGCGGTCTGCCAACAGAGATAATTACATGGTGATTGATAATAGCCAGACATAAGTCTTGGTTCTCATATTAATTTTGGGGAAAAGAGTGAACAAGAGATTAATCTCTGGTGCTTTGTAAAAGCTGTTTTCTGTGTCAAGAGACCAAGAAGCAGTCAGCTCCTAGGAACTCGGATGGGGGTTAAGCGACTTGAGAGCTGAGGAATTTTCATCTTGCCCCAAAGCCATAAAAGAGCCGTGACCGGTATGGGATCTGCAAAAGTCTCCCTTTCTTAATTATTTTTGGGACAGTTATAATTTATAACTGATGGAGATTTGTCCAGTTTTAACAATGGAAATTGGTATATTTGTATTTTTTAGATTGAGAGTATAAAATGTTCTACATTGTTAAACTTTTATATTATTAAAAATGAATAAAAATAATATTTTAAAAATGACAACCATAATTTAAAGCACACAGAAAGTTAAAATCACAACAGAATACAGTGGTACCTCGGGTTAAGTACTTAATTCATTCCGGAGGTCCGTTCTTAACCTGAAACTGTTCTTAACCTGAAGCACTACTTTAGCTAATGGGGCTTCCCGCTGCCGCCACGCCGTCAGAGCACGATTTTTGTTCTCATCCTGAAGCAAAGTTCTTAACCCGAGGTACTATTTCTGGGTTAGCAGAGTCTGTAACCTGAAACGTATGTAACCTGAAGCGTATGTAACCCGAGGTACCACTGTAGATTAATACAAGTTAAAGCAAATTAAAAATGCAAGCAATCGTATGTAAGATTGATTGCATTATGCTCTTTATAACTTGGAACCTTCACCCTGTGTCAGAAAACAACAGCAACACACTAATTTTTTTTTGGGGGGGTGTTTCTACCCCAATGCGATTTCCAATATAAGGTGAGGGTAGAATTTTGAATCCCAGAAAATATATGTGTCTGTGGTGTCAGAAGAAGAGTGCTTGACAATGTCCAAACATCCCAAGCCGGAAAACACTTATTTGTGGGATGTGTTTCTGACCCTATTAAGAAACTCACAAGAAAACTGTCATGGGATAGAGAGATGTCCCCAAACAACATTATATGGTTTGTGCCAAGTTATTGACACAGCTGTAGCTGGTAGGGGCTGAACTTTGAAGATATTGTAGAGGTGACCATTTGTGATAATGTCCTGGAACTACGTTCATTGCAGAATCAAAACTGCATTGGAGCAGGTGGGGTGGGAATGCTTTGATTCACACAAAATTGTATGACGGTTAAAGAGAAACTGGAAATGATTTAATATTGGGAGCACTTGGGGGGAAATGGTGCTTGAAATAGTTGCATTACATTATTGTAAATACATGTGGTAAAATATTTTGATCACATTAATCAAATGTACATTGGTTAGTTTGGTCTTTCAGTATTTTATTCCTTTACAGAAACTTTTTAAATGGAATTATGCAAAAGTATAGAGATATTAATGCTATGTTTAAACTGGGTGAAAGACAGATAGCAAATAACGTAATAATGTATTACATGTTGTCTCTTTTATAAAGAGTGCAGCTAGCTTTAGTCCAGGTCCTATGAGAAGATTTTAAATATAAGCTCTCCCATCTTTTTTAATCACTTTAATTCAGCGAGGACCCAGTTTTCTTTGAATTAATTTCAAGCATAAAATGGGTTTCACCAGTACCATTAGCTAAACCTCCCTGCCATTTCTTCCCTTTATCAAGTAAAAATAAAATCACCCTTAAAAAGGTGTGGGGTGCCGGTGGTAATTGTCAGTGGGCAGAGGTAGGAGAGTCCTATCTAACCTCAAACCAGAAATGATGTTCCTGAACATGCACAGAACTGGAACTTCCTGCCAGGGAGCATGTCAAATGTAGATCCCTCTGCCTCCTGATCCAATAAAGGAGACATTGACAAACCATGTGTACCCTGACAAGGAATTACAATCTGGAAGACCACAATTTCTTTAGAAGCCTCTGAAAACAAACTTTCTGTATCTGATGAGCCCTCATCACCAACAGGCATCCCCTCTCTACTATACCTAAGGGTTTTCTTGGTTTTTTTCCACTTTTTAAAGAAAGAAAATAAAGCAATGATGCTGAATAGTGAGGGACTGGGAAGCGAAAAGGATGCACACAAGTGATGGAGAAGAAATATGTTTCAGATTGCATTTAAAGGTGTACTTATATTACAGACAATTCCCTACTTAAGAAACAAAATTCCATGTAGAATTCTAGAAATAGTAAAAGCAGTTCATCGTATGGACTCAGAGTGTCACTGTTGGACAATGTGGGAGCAGCCATGGCTCAGCATTTCTGAGACTCTTGGAGTAGTCTCTCTCTCTTAACACTTCAGCCGAGCAGAAAGGAAAAGCTTTTATGTTAAAAGCTGCTCAAGAAAGGAAAGCTCTCAGTTTCCCAAAGATCAGCTCAAAAGAACAATATTTCTATGATCTGACATCAGTGTACTGGGAGTCTTGAAAATTGAAGTGAAAGAAGGAGGAAATCAGAAACAACAATGGATGTGATTGAAGTAAAGCAGGCAGAGAGAACAAGGGAGATCACCAAGAGGCAAGTACTGTTTCTGTTCATATTCTGGTCTGTGTTCTGCTGCCAGGTAGTATCTGAGCAGGTTCAATATTCAGTTCCAGAGGAAGCAGAGCAGGGCTCCTTTGTGGGGAACCTTGCTAAAGATCTGGGGTTGGATGTCAGAGAGCTGTCAAAGCGCAAGCTTGGTATTTCTTCAGAAAAGCAATTCTTTGATTTGAATGAACAAAATGGCAACCTGTATGTGAATGAGAGGATAGACCGGGAAGAGATCTGTGGGGAATCATCCACTTGTGTCCTCAGATTAGAAGTTGTGGCACACAATCCTTTGAATATTTTCCACGTAAATATTTTTATCCAGGACATTAATGATAATGCTCCACATTTCCAGAATGAAAATATTGAGCTTAAATTGAGTGAGTCTACTCTGCCGGGAACTCGATTTGCTCTTGGAAATGCCGAAGATGATGATATTGGAATAAACTCCCTCCAGAATTATCAGTTGAGCTCAACTCCATATTTCAAACTAGAAATTCAAAACAGCAATGATGGTGGTAAATATGCTGAATTAATTTTGCAGAAACAACTGGACAGGGAAAAGGAACAGGTGCATAACATGGTCCTTACAGCCATGGATGGTGGAGAACCTCCAAAAACCGGAACAGCCAAAATATTGGTTGCAGTTATTGATAATAATGACAATGTTCCTGTTTTCACCCAGACAATCTATAAAGTGAGCCTGAAGGAGAGTGCACCCAAAGGAACCTCTGTGCTTCAAGTCAAAGCATCTGACAGTGATGAAGGGTCAAATGCTGAGATCACTTATACTTTCAGTGACATCCCAAAAACAGCCAAACAGAAGTTTCATCTAGATCCCAGAGACGGAACAATCACACTCATAGAAAGTGTTGATTTTGAGGACAGACAAAAATATGTGATGATAATTCAGGCAAGTGATGGAGGAGGCTTGGTGGCACATTGTAATGTGGAGATTGAGGTTCTTGATGAGAATGACAATGCTCCAGATGTGATCCTTACATCCGTGTCCAGCCCAGTTCCTGAAGATGCCACATCTGGAGCTGTAATTGCTCTCATTAAAGTTCAGGACAGGGATTCTGGGGATAATGGAGAAGTCACCTGTCACCTGAAGGAGTTTGTACCTTTCCTGATAGTCTCATCTTTGGATAATTACTTCAAGCTCCTCATAGATGGTGCCCTTGACAGGGAAAGGAGTGCAGATTATAATATTACAATCACAGCCACAGACAAAGGCACACCTCCACTCTCCACACACAAAACCATATCAATACAGATCTCAGATATCAATGATAACCCACCAGCCTTTGAAACATCTTCCTACACTGCCTACGTTCCAGAAAACAACCCATCTGGAGCTTCAATTTACCACGTCAAGGCTTCTGACCCAGATCTGGATCGCAATGCTCGAATCACTTACTCCATCCTTAACAGCAACATCAAGGATCTGCCTCTCTCCTCCTATGTCTCCATTAACTCTGAGACTGGAATCATCTATGCCCAACGCTCATTTGACTATGAGCAATTCAGGGAGTTTCAGATTCAAGTGAAGGCCCAAGATGGAGGTTCTCCACCACTCAATAGCAGTGCCACAGTGACAGTATGTGTTTTGGATCGAAATGATAACGCTCCGCAGATCCTGTACCCCTCACAATCAACAGAGGGCTCACCTTTCTTTGAGATGGTGCCTCGGTCAGCTGAGTCGGGTTATCTGGTGACGAAGGTGGTGGCCGTGGACTCTGATTCGGGACACAATGCCTGGCTCTCCTTCCATCTCCTGCAGGCCACAGAGCCCTCACTCTTCAGCATTGGCTCCCACACAGGAGAGGTGCAAACAGTCCGAGCATTACTTGAGAGAGATGCAGTGAAGCAGAGGCTGGTCATCCTGGTGAAGGACAATGGACATCCTCCTCTCTCAGCCACCACAACTTTGAGCCTGGTGTTTGCTGAGAACTTCCAGGAGGCTCTTCCAGAAATGAACTCCCAACCAAATGACTCAGAGTATCAGTCTGATCTACAGTTTTATTTGGTATTGGCCTTGACCTTGGTGTCCTTCCTGTTCCTGGTGACCGTGATATTGACCATTCTGATGAAGCTTCGAAGGTCAAGGAACCCTACTTTCCTTCAGTGCTTTATTCCTGACCCGCATTCAAAGGCTGGTGCCATATTCCCACCCAATTATGAGGACGGAACTTTGCCTTATTCCTACCAGGTCTGTCTGTCCTCTGAATCCAGGAGGAATGAGTTGACATTCCTGCAGCCCACTGTCCAAATAGCAGAAAACATCCTTTGCAATGGCAACTCTGACATTTCTTTGATGTTCAGTGGAGGTAATTTAATTTCTGAAAAGGAAAATGACAGCACGGTGAGTTATATTGCATTTTCTTTTTGTGGAATTAATTATGTTATCACTTGTTTGAGTGTTGAATTGTAAATAGTGGATGTTATCAAGCTGGCGTTCTAGACAATTTAGGCCATGTCGCTAGGGAGGGAGGTAGTGAGTTGTACTGAGCTGCTACTGCTGCAGATCAAGCTAATGGAATGGGCCTTTTAGCAGTTGTTGAAGGGCAAAATTGCAAGTTGGGGGAGCCTCAGTCAGAATTATCCAGATGCACATTTGCATGCTGACTTAGGGCGACAATCTCGGACCACAAGATGGCATAACATGTTTGAGTGGAGACAGTGCTTATTCTTCCTT